AGTCAAAGAGTAAATTAGCAGTTGGGTTTTAAATGATATCAATATTACAGCTTTTTCACATATAGTTTATGGAACAAGCACAAATAATCTGTCTTTCAAAATATCAAACATTTCAGGCAATCTCAAAGTGTAATTATCTTATAAATTTCCCAATATTAAGAGATGAATGGTCTAAAATGAGAGAGCCATAAAAATGTGGCAGAAATATATATAAACAACCTTTCTTCTCAGAAAGCTGATTTAAAAAAAAAAAGAAATGGAAAGAGAAAAGAAAGATGGGGACTTACCCTCTCACCTCCCCCTTCCTTCCCAGGTCCTGATGTGCAATTCCAAACCAACCCTGGGCTGTGGGCAATAACGCTGAGCCTGCAAACAGGGAGTCCTTCTGACTGAGGCTGAAGCAATTCCTGAAGAAGAAACAAAGCTGGAATCATGAACTGTCACAGGCTGAATTTCTCCTTTCCTCTCTGGCACACCCGGCAAGCCCTAGAGCTTGGTCAAAAAACCATCCCAACCCCCCCAAAGCAGCTGCTCAGGGTGAACCCCCCTGGCTGCAAACACACTCCCCCAGCACTCCTGGCTGTTGGCAGCCCCTTCTCGCAGCACTGTCCCAGGGGAGCTGCAGGAACAGTGCTGCTGCTTAGTCCACACCTTCTCTTGGCCCTGATGTTCCACACACACTCAGGACAAGCTCAAGGCTGTCGCTGACCTTGCTGGACGAGACAAATTTCCAACGGGCCTGACAGAGCTCTGGAGGGACAGAAGGTGAGGAGGCTCCCTGAGTAGTCTCCAGGCCTCTCCATTCCTTGACAGGCTCCTTGCTCCACCAAACACCCAAAAAACACCCAACCCTGCCTCGCAACTCCTTCACAAGGTTGAAAACCCCACTGTTCAAGTCAGACAGTTCCAGCAGGTTCACAGCCCCCGAGGCTCCCCTGGCCCCACACAACATTCAGCTGCTGCTGACAGGCTCTGATCCCCCCAGCCTGGTCCCCCCATCTCCCTCCCAACATTTCAACTTCAAATTGCAAATCTCTCTCTACATTGTGCATTTCTCTCACCACATTTCCATGGCCAAACCCCTCACTACTGGCGGCTTCTGAACAGCAGGAACCAAAGTTAAGAAAAGCTCCCGCCTGTGCCTGGGCCAGGGCGAGAGCTCTGCAGACAGAAGGCTCTGTGTGCTCTCACTCCCTTGGCAGGAATAACAACCTCGGCCACTTCAGGGGAGGTGACTGGATTAGCAGGGGAGAAAGGAGAAAAAAAACCAGAAAGGGAAAAAGAAAAGCCACCAGGAACAACCAAAGAGGCTCGAGCGTGGCCTGGTGTATTTGCAGTGAGCCAGAGCACAGGTTAGAGCAAAACCTGGAGAAGGCAAAGGGATCAGGACATGACAAATCTAAAGCTGCTGTGGATTCACTGTAGGTTTGATCTACTCACAGGCAGTAAATCCATGGCCCAGGTGAGGCCTCTGCTGTGCACTGGGCTGATGTGCCACATCCAGTTGTTTCTTGAACACCTCCAGGGATGGTGACTCCACCACCTCCCTCAGCAGCCCCTTCCAATGCCTGTAACATAATCAAACATCTTTAAATACAGCTTGTTTATGCTAGTTATTTATTTGACTATGAAATACAATTCACATTGCACTTCCAGTGTGTGTGCAGATGCTCTGTTCTTAAATGCAAGGTCTGAAGATTAATAGTTCGTATATTTCTAGAAATAAGTGTAACAGTCACTATCTCCAGATCAGCACTGTGCCTTTCAGCACATAATCTACTTGCCAAAATTAATTTTTACCTCTAAGCAAGAGGTTCTATCCTCCCCCAACATTGTCCTGTTTGCCTATTTTTATTCTCATTATTTTCTTCTCATTAATTTTCCCTCTTGCTTTGGTGAAGCATTGCCCTTCTTGTGTTCATACCATTCCAATACCATTGGTCTGAAATTATCATTGAATATTGTCACTTTTCTTTATCCTTTACCCTGACTCCTGAATTCATTTTGATTTCCACAGCTCTGGGATTACTTCTATGAGTAACCTGTATGAAATTGTACTCTGTTTTTTTACAGCTGCAAGAAATAGATACTTGTTGCTATAAGTGAAGTTCATTACTATGTTAGAATCATATTAAACACCTTTAATAAGAAAGAACTTAAGAACTTTAATACACTCTAAATAAGGTGTTATTTCACCTCCACGGGATGGGTCTTATACCTCTTTTGCTGAGCTGCTTCTGTAAACATTTCTAACTAAAAAAAATAACTAAAAAAGTAATTTCTAACTAAAAAATCAAGTGACCTTGTTCTCAAGCCCTGGTTTGTCGTCTCCACAGCTCCTGGAAAAAGGCCAGATTAGGTATCTTTTAGGATTCCATTCACAAATTTCCACTGTGGTGAGTTATTTCCATTACCAGAGCTTCTACTTCTTCGACTGAGCTGCTTCTGTCATCTTTCCAGAGTGCCAGCTCTGGAGCAGACATTGATTTCTGTCTATCTCCAAGGAGATCCTCTGCTTCCACAGCTAAATCTGCAGAGAAACAGATATTTATTTTGTGGCAAGCTACTTTAAACACTGTAAGTTTATAAAACTCCTCTGTTGGCTTTCTGTGTCTCTATCACGAGCTCTGTTCTCCTGGTTTGGTACTCTGGGACAGGGGTTGTCATGTTTCTGCCCACAGCAGGGATATGGGCTCTTTTTTGTGTCTCTCTCAGGGCTGGTGCAGTGCCTTGTACAGCTATCAGTAATCTGGTATCACATAAACTGGAAACAAAAGGAGAAAGAGAAGACAAGAACTGGAGACAAGACTGAAAGAGTAGCAGGAGGAAATAAAATCAGTAGCATGGGAGAGTTATTAAAGAAGGAAGGGTAGTTAAGACAAAATTTGCAGGGAAAATACTCATATCAAATATATTGAGTGCCTTCTATGCCTGGAAAGTGTAGAAAAAATGAAATGGTATACATTAGCACAGAAAATGGAAATGCCAAAGCTGATTTTTTTGCTCAGGCCATGATAATGGACTGTGAACATTATTAATTGTAACATTTTCCATCCAATGCCACACAGCCATTGGATATTGTCTCTCCCTGTTGAATGACAAGGCTGTGGTGATGCAGTTGTCTCAGGAAGGTGTTGGGAAGTTTGACAATATATGTTTGTCAGGAGATTTGCACATCTCTGTTAGAGGCATTGGAGCTCTGTCAGATCCTGCCATACCACAGCTCAGGGTTCTGTTATCCACATGCAGGATACTCCATGTAGCTCGTGTCCAGAGAGCTTGAGATGGTGGGAATACTGCACAATAGGACAGGGTTGAACTGAGTGCCTGTGCTGCAGGTCGGATCGATCCAGAAAGCACTGTATGTGCATACAAACTGTGTGTGCATGAAGGCACCTCAGCAATGCATGTGGAGAAATGGCAGAGACATCTGAAATCTCTCAAGAGATGCTGCCGTGCTGGCCAGGCTGTCTTTTCAGGCTGCCCCAGACAGTGCCACGATTATCCCCTTTTGCCTGGTCAAACTCCCATGTTGAGCAGAGCATGCTGAAGGAAGCAGATGTATGGCAGCCAGAAGCCCAGAATTCCTGTTTATCCCTCTGAACGATGCCACAAGGCGGCACTGTTCAGACCCAGCTCCGCCAAATGCAATTAGGATGAAGAATTAGATTAGTGCCAGAGAAATATCGCCTCTGTCGTTTGAAGTGGATCCTGGTCACAAGCAAAGTTGAGTATCAAAGCACGGGCTAGAGAAATCCTGCCTCATTAAAAATTGACTTTAAGCCAATTGTCCTCTTCCTTTCTGTCTGTCTGTCTATCTTTCTCCCTTGCAAACGAGCTTACAACTCTCCCTCAAGGCAAGAGCACCAGTAGTCAAGCTCTGGTAGCTTTGAAGAAATCTTTATGTGATTAGAAATGCCACACAGAGTTCCACCCTCCGCCCGGCTCTGCATGCCAGTCGGATGGGAGTATATAGGCCACCGTAAACGTATTCCATGCACAGCTCCATCTCCCTAAATCGGTGTTTAATTAGGAACCATATGCTTGCTGTGTTATCGTGGTTCTGAGCCCGGGGAAGGGTGTGGAATGCAGGATGAGGTCGGTGCAGACGGGATGCAGAGAACTGTCACTGCACGTGCCGCGTCCGCCTCTCCCTCCGTGCTCCCTCACGGCGCTGCGGGACGGGGCTCCTCTGCGCCCCGGCCGAGGAAGCTCCGCGGGGGCCCGAACTCCACCGCCAGGGACGTGTGTGCCAGCTGGGGCACCTCTTCTCTCCTGCAGCGATGTCGCGGAGGAAGCGCAGGAGCACTGCCCGCGGCTGGGAAGGAGCATCTGTATGAAGTACCGGCGGAGCTAAGGACCGACACGAGCGACGCTTGCTTTGGGCTGAAGGCCCCGCGTTTCAGCAGTCCAGCTTCTCAAAGAGGGGGGGTTTATTTGCGCAGTCAGAACACAAACCCTCCTGAAGGAGAGATGGCTCGGAAGGGCCTGGCTGTTCCCGGCTCGGCAGGGAGGTGTCTGTGCCCCTCAGGGTGCCATGGCAGGGCTGAGGGCAGCTCACTACGGGGCACCATGTACGGCTGAGGGCAGCCCCTCTCTGGGCACCATGGCGGGGCTGAGGACTGCTCCCCTCTCTGGGCACCGTGGCGGGGCTGAGGACTGCTCCCCTCGGGGCGCCGTGGCGGGGCTGAGGACTGCTCCCCTCGGGGCGCCGTGGCGAGGCTCAGTGCAGCCTCGGCGCTCGTACTCCCTCTCCACCGCTGCCCACCGGCCAGACCAAGCGGCCCCGGCAGGCAGGAGCCAAGAGGCGCTGCCGCAGGACCGAGAGTGGTCCCGGCGCTGCCCCGGGAGGAAGCGCGATGCCCACAACGCCGTCCTGCCCTACCCGACCCAGCCATGGCGCCCCTGCCCCGCCTTCCCTTCAGGGCGGCCGGGCCCGCCCCTTCCCTGCCGCGGGTCCGCCGCCGCCCCACAATGCCCTGCGCCCCGGCCCTCGCAAGATGGCGGTGCTGGGGGCGCCGCGGGGCCTGGTGGCCGCCGCCTCCCGCAAGCGGCGGCTGCTGCTCGCCCTGGCCCTGCTGCGGCCGCCGCCCGCCGCCGCCTGCGCCGCCGGGGCGATAGCGGGGACCGGGCGGCGGGCCCGCGCCGCCCCGGCGGGCGGACAGGTGCGTGGGGGCGCCGGGGAGGGCGGGCGGGGGTGGCCACTGAGGGAGGGTGAGGGGCGGTCCCTGAGCGGTGGTCCCTGAGGGGCGGTCATTGAGGGGCGGTCACTGAGGGAGGGTCAGGGGCGGTCTCTGAGGGGCCGCCGGTCCCCGCGGCGCTGCCCCCGGCCCTGCGAGCACGGCCCGGTCCGTCCTTGCCTGCCCGGAACCGGCGCCCCCCGCCCGGGCGGGCCCCGGGAGGCCCTGCGGGGGCTCTTTGGGGACGAGCATTAGGAGCCCCGGTGTCTGTGAATAGATGCAGGGTGTGTGCACAGGGAATACTTGTGCTGGCGGCTGATTCTGCCGCTCTCTAGGGAAAGGGAGCTGGAGTTGGAATGCTCTCTGTCAGCTGGGCGGGCTGTAACATGTCCCAGGGGATAATTTTTTTTGTTAGAAGTAAAGAATTGAGCACATATCTCAAGCTGTGTAAGTCATAGGCGTTTTTCAAAGCAAATGAGGAAGTGTATCCCAAAGATAGAGGGAATGAACTTATCCCAAAGGCTTTCCATAAGCTCTCAGATAGCTCTGATTTCTGTCTCATAATAACCTTTTACCTTTTGTATTCCTCAGATTACCACTGTTCATGAGTAGCTTTTCTTTGTCACCTTGGTTAGTTTTCCCTGACAGGCAGAATTCTACCAGAGACTACAGTCAACTTCATGTTGCTTGGCAGATGAGATGGGCAGGGCTGAAGTGATAAATTTGAGGGGGGTTTAGTTTTGAAATCGAGCAAGACAAGAAGGTGAGAGTTAACGTTGATGCAGATCAAATATTTTACCCATGTATTTGCATACATTAAAATATACCTGAGTACTCAGTATTGTCCCTGTTCCTGGAAATCCATTTCAGCTGTGAGTGAACAAATAGCAGCGTTATCATGGTGATGAATAGGAGCATTAATTATATTCCTGGTTTCCTTTTGAATGTTTTTATTTTCATGTTGGGAATACCAGTCCTTGCTGATCAGTTTTAATTGCCACATGTCACTAAATGTGGATTTGCACTAGATTTTCTGATCTTGTGGAATATATATATATATGCTCATCTCTCTGGCCTTTTAGTTTCTAGGCATTTTTTTGTTAGAAAGTGATCAATGAATGCATTTTTTATGGTCTGGTGATGAATTTTCACTTCTGCATCAAGCTCTATTTGACTGAAAATTACGATTTATTAAGTGCAGGAGCAAGGTCTTATATTTTGTTAAATAAAAATTGCCACGTTATGAGAAATAGGCAACACATTTTATGGAAGTGCAAAAGTATTTGACTCTTACCTAGCAGGAGACTGTAAGGGTTCTGGATTTTTGGTTATAATGTCCTTCAAAATTTTGGGACATGATTTTTTAAACATTTAATTAAATTTGCTGTGTTGTCCTGCAATTTCAGTTTCCTCTTCTCATTTTTCAGCTAGTTCAAGAAATACTGTGCCTGCACAAAGGGAAGTGACTCTGAGAAGTTGGCCAGGCACTTCAGCAGTTGTATTTCAGAGTGATTAGCCATTGATTTTTATAAATTAGGTAATTCAGCAGTTAAAAAAAACCTTCTGGAAGCAAGTATGTGCATCCTGGTTTAGTTTCAGTTGTTTGATTATTTTGCTGTGCTCATACACTAATGGGGACTGTCAATATTTTCAATGGACTTGTTCTGAAAGCTTTTCTATATATTGAAAAAGTTGAAGAAACACACCTGGGCTTGCATTTAAAGCAACTTAATCTTGATTGCCGTGGTCCCAAGCTGTGTGTTTCACAGTCAATGGGAAGGAGGTGATGAAAGCAGTGTGTTATAGCAGGTGTTGTGGTGAAAGCCTCCGGGCTCCCATGTGGTGACACATCTTAGTGTGTATATTTGATTGTGGGGGAAAGCTCTTACCCCTGTTACCTCCCTGGCTGTGTTGTAGGTGTCAGATATGGGTTAGAGTTTGCACTGGTGTGTTCAGTATTTCCAGGGGCAGTAAATGTGACATAAGTGCTCCTGATCCAGCATTTTAATCCCCCATGGGATGGGACACTGGCAGGGCCCAACCACTTGTGGAGTGCAGAGAGTTGGCTCTAATGGCATATCTTCCCTGAAGTGTTCCTAACTAGGAAGGACCTTCCTGGGAGGGCACCCCTAATGTGACAGAGTTACACCAGTGCTTCTCACTGCTGGGAGTAAAATCGACTCTGCAACCACAGCTGGGCTTTCATTGGTGTAACTACACGAATGGCAGAGGTTTGGGACAACATGACTGTGTCAGGAGCAGTGCATTGTACACCTCAGACTGGTGAACTGCACAGCCAGAGCTCAACTCATGGGGATTAAAGGCAGGAAGAACTCTGGTGAAATATGACCATAAGAGCCAAGTTGCCAACCATTCTTTTTGACAAAGATTATTTTAAAGACTTGCCTGTGACCCTTCTACTCTGCTTTGCATCCATGTGGTGTTTGATCCTCTGCCTTCTTGTAGTGTTTTTTAAGCTTATAATTAATTGTAAGCTTATTTGTGTTTTCTGTGGCACTCAGTGCCATGAGAGTCAAGTATAGCAGTTGTTTGGGTGCAGTTGCATCACAGATCCACATCTTCCCTCACACTTATGTTTTTCAGTACTTTTGATTGCAGTCGTGTAACATTTTGTATCCTGAAGAGTAAAACAGCTAAATTTATGGAGGGCAAAGACAGGTGTCATAAATATTGTGGGCCTGTGATCCAACTTCATTTCTTTATATTGAGATCAGTTTGTATTTCCATTCCACAGCTCCTTTGGGTCCCTCTCCTGCGGTTGGAGTAGGCAAGGGTTCATCCTGTCAGAACCTGTGTGTTGAATTTGGGGTCTGTGCTGAGTAGGGAACTGGCATGTTGGCTTGGTAAAGTATGATAAGTGACCAAACAATTGCTGGGGTTTTTTTCCTAGGAAGCTTGTGGGGCTTTTTTTGTTTGTTTGGTTGGGTTTTTTTGTAGAACAGTTTACCTGTATCCAAAATAAAAGCAATGGCAATTGCTGTTCAGTCTAAATATGGCAATTAAATGAATCTAAAAATTAGTTAAATGAATTTAAATGAGCTAAATGGAAAGAAAATAGCATTTGACTGGAAAGGTCCAACACCCTTTAACTAAGGATAATTATTTTGCTAGGAATCTTTATAAGTGAAGAAATACACTGAGGAGTTTCAGGGAGAACTTTGGCAGTGATAGAAAGCAGGGCTGTGTAAAATACTGTAACGGTAAAAAGTAGAAGAAACTTTTTTTCCTCTTTGCATTATCTTGCCCTTCCAGCTGCCAGTGATAAAGAGTGTGTTCTTCTGCATAACTTAATAATATCCCTTGCTCTGGAAGAGGTTCTAAGAGAAGTTTCAGGTATTTCTGTTAATTTTCTTTATATTTTGCCTGTTTTTTTTATTTATTTATTTTTACCCGAAGCCTGGTCTGTTCTGTAAAATTATACTGATGTTTATTGTCCAGACATTTCATGTGTTGGTGTGTGTTGCTAAGTTCTCTTCTCTAGACTTTGAAGGTGCAGTTGAACAGCACAATGCCTGGGAACTATAAATCGTGTCTCTGGTAGTCAGCAGCCTTCACTGACAGATACCTGTATTTGAAACTCCTCGAATTTTAAAATCCCTTTATAGAGGAAGTATTGCTGCTGAGCAGATCAGCAGTCCCATATGTCTGCCTGGAAAAATGGACATCTAAAATTGCTGTGAGGAAGGATGGCCCATCCCTGGAAGTGTCCAAGGCCAGGTTGGACAGGGCTTGGAGCAGCCTGGGATAGAGGAAGGTGTTCCTGCCCATGGCAGGGGATGGAATGAGATGAGCTTTAAGGCCCCTTCCAGCCAAAAGTGTTCTATGATTCTCTGAAATAGAACAGAGGGAAATACGGATCTCAATCTGGAAATCATTTGGGGAACACTGGGGGCACAGGATAAGCTGCACTCGCTGCAGTGGGGGGCTGGGGTGCTCTCTGGGTTCTCTGTTCTGCCCCTGAGATGTGTTTTACCAAGACAAGCCAAATGTGAGGGTATATTAGAAGGTGTTGGGGGGGAAATTCCCTAAGGTATCTTTTTGTTCATCTCCTTGTTTTCCTTTGCTCTGTACACGTTCATCCGAGTGTACAGAGCAATGGCACATTGACCGTTGTTAAATGTAGCTCCAGTTAAGTTTATATTGTTCATATTGGTGACAGTTTAGTCTAGATTTATACCAGAATATTTTCTCTCTCTTCTCTCTCATTTTCCTCCGCTGTTTCCTACTCATAATTTCTTTTCTTGCCTTGCAAACTCAGCAAAAGTAACCGTGAGACTTGAACACTGCACGGGTACTTGGATCCCACCTTCAGTTGTGTTTGCTGTTACAGCTAGTTTAAAAAAACCAGTCCCCATCAGATGAGTGCAGCATGCCTGGAACAGTACATATCATATTCCACAGGGAACCTTTTAAGTGTGGATTTGACCTTGTGCAAATGTGTTTTATCCCTGTTGCTTGTTTGCATTTGTAGTATTTAAGCTGCTACTCACAGTCATGACACTAGTAACATGACTTTTATGGGCAGTCAGTACTAGGCATCTGTTTCATTCTTTAGAGTTTATAGAATCATGTCCAAAAATGCATTAAAAGGGCGTAATGGTGCAGAGTCAGGCATTCAAAAGTTAGGAAATGCCAGGATTCAAGTTTCCTGCATAATTTCAGAAATGCAGAAATAAGCAGGACTCTGTCCTGCTCCTTTAAAGAAATAACCTGCTTCTTTGATCTGTTACGATAAAATTCAAGTATGGCTTTTCTTTGTAGTCTTAAATCTCTTGGGAAAAAAACATAGTGAGGAGAGTGGAGTTGTCTTCCTGCAGAATGTGTGGAAAGTGGTAGGGAAAGCTTCAGCCCCGCTCCTTTGGGCAGTTTTGCTGTCAATACTCTGATGGGCAGAGGGATTATCAGTGAAGTCAGTTGTTCACCTTGTTTAATTCTTTATTTCTTCACTCAGATTTGATTTTTAGCAGGAGATGGGAGAGGATTGAAACCTCCAGTCTTCCAGGCTGAAGTTTGCAAATAAGAACAAGTTTTCCTGTGCATCTTTTGCAAATCTTTTAATTCTTTTGCTGTATTCGTCTCTTAACCCAATGGCAATTCATAGTTTCAGTCAAGGAATTGGGCTGTTTTTCTGAAGCGGGATTTGAGACCAGATCTGCTGGTGTTTCAGTACAAATTGTTTCTGTGATGTTGTTTGCCTCATACTTCAGTCAGAAGGGAACCTGGAGAACTTTGATATCAAAGGATATGAATTACTAGTGAAATGTTTTTATGATGTCCTGTGAGTAAACTCTAGAAGGACAGTAATTAGCTTCTTTCCAATAACTGTTGGAGCATTATAATTTTTCTATGATATTTTCTGTTTATGGCACTGTCACTGTTCCTGTGGAGGGTGCCTTGGTTTAGATGGAATCCTCTGTGCTGACACAAAGCTGTAAAATTATGAATGTATCTACAATGAAGTGCTTTAGAAATGATGCTCCTTCATTTTACCCAGGTCTTGGGAACATCAGGACAGTTCACCCAGCCCAGTTAGCTCTACTAAGGGCAAAACATGTAATTGGGATGTTCACTTTTCCTCTGTATATAATGCCATATAATGGAATTGTTTGGAGTAAGCAGGTCACATGTGGTGACTTGTGCAGGAATGGTTTTAATTTTCTTTACAATTGTAACTTAGGATATATGTCTTAGGGTAAGAACAAAGGAATGTTTGAGGCAAGAGGTCAAATAGGTGCCAGTGCTGCTGTTTGTCAAGGTTAAAAATGCTTTTTTGTGACAAAGTTCTTTTTTTCCCCTTTTTGCCCTTTGTGCTTTGCTGTGTGCTCATGAGCACCGTGTGTCTCTTTTGCTCTGCAGTGGTGATTGTTACATAGTGGATGGTTAATATTGTAACAGAACAGTAAAAGGTTTACTATTGAATGTGTCAAAGATGATGTGGCACCATCAGTGCTGAGCAGAAGAGAGCTCCCTGTGTCTTGCCACCAGGGAAGCAATGCCAGTTAGTCCATCTGAGGAGAATAAATGGTCCTTTGCAACATGGATTGCTTTGCAAGGTAACGTGTGGAGCATGGCACAGTTGGTGCCAGCAGTCTCTTAAGGTCGGTGGATCTGTGAATATTGGGTATCTTGTGTCCTAATAACCTAAAACTTGTTGCCAGCCCTGCTCCAATTTCTGACAGTCCCAGTGTTTCCCAGTGCAGAGCTGTAGCTTTGATTTGCCTAGTGGAGACAAGCATGGCATGAGCTGAGCTAAGAGGAATTGGGAATGGCAGAACCTATAAGCATAAAAGTAGCATTTCATGATGAAAAATGGAAGAAAAGACTGTTTGGAAGAAGTCAGAAGACAACCTGGGAGAAAATGAAAATGAGACGAAAGCGAAAACTTTGGGCTTTCATGGTACAAAAGAAAGAGTCTGATGGGAGTGTGGATTCAGGGAAGGGAAAGGTTCATTGTCACAGAGCATTTTAATGGGTGAATGGAATTTCATTTACAGCTGCTCCCCACTAGTTTGCTTTTTCTGTGGTCAGTTGTTAAAAACCAAAACCATCTGCCTTCTTTTCATGTTATGCTTGTTTACATGAACCAGATGAATATTCTCTGACTGTGAAATGCATGTTCTGCATGACTCCATTTTCACTTCTTTTTCTCCCTTTTTGTTCTGTAGATTCCACCCATTTGCAGGCAAAGATCATGGCACAGCCTGGCAGGGGATTACTCAAGGCCATTACTAGAGCCTTCAGAGGTGGGTACCATTGGTTTTTCCTACTTGCAGGTCAGAGGAAACTTAAGCCCTTGGAGCATCTTTCAGTTTAATCTGCTGATTTTGTGGGTTTTTTTCTTAATTTCACTACTTATGGTTCTGAAGTGCAGCAGATTAAATGACAAGTTATGTTTCTGCCCCTAGAAGTCTTTCTGAATCTTTAGAAACTAATGATATTACAGTAACTTTCAAAGAAGAGTCCTTACCCAGGTAAGGAATACCCAGGCACAGGAGATAGTGAGTTTTCCTTGAGTGTGTAAGGCCTTATCACTTCAAAATTCTGCTTAGGTTGCAGAATATTCTCATTATTGAATGCCAGGATATCAGACTTTTACTCCTGGGAGGTCTGCTTGCCTTAAAACCAGTGTAACCATAAGGAAGGTGCAATTTTTCCTGTTCATGGAATAATTATGACACATAATGAAGCTAACAAATGTATTTATCTTGCTTTTCTTTTTGGTTTTTAGTTATAAAAAGATACCCACTCACCGGTTATCACAGAACTGACTTAAGCAGCTAAAATCTTTTGAGGATCATTGGGGCCTCAAAGCATAAAATCTACTTAGATTATTTTTTATAATGTTTTTCTTTAAAATGTGAAAAGTGACATTTTGATTTGGGAAACCCTGGGGTCTGCTATCAACCAACATACATCAAAGGGGATTCCCAAAGAGCTTTTACGTAACTCGAACCTGAAAACTGTGAACATGTAGCAAATCTTTTAAACAAAATGCAGATTAGTTTTTGAAAAGCTTGAACACGTCCATTGTTTGTGGCAGGCACTTGGAAATTGAACTTAGAGAAATGCCTGCTGGTAGTGAGTTGTTACTTTTTAGTGCATCTGTGTGTGTGAATAAATTCAGAACTTTTGTCAGAGGAGTCTTGAGTGCATCCTGAGAGAAGGGGGCATTTAACAAGCAGGTTTGTTTCTGAACTGCCCCTGTACATGGATTGCAGCAAGGACTCTGGGCTGGGGTAATTTGTACCTGACTTATGGCACCAATAGGCCATTCCCATCCTGGTGGGAAAGAGAAGTGTAAAGTGGATTTATCTTGTTTATTTTGCCCACAAGTAAAGTTGCTCTTATGCACATGGAAAAAGTATTATTGCTGAAATGTGTTCCACTTTATATATTAATGTGCCCGAGCATGGTTATCCCCCAAAACTTCAAGGTTTTTTTCTATGTTCTCCAGTCCATTTTCAATTTTTAGGTGTCTTTTTAACTGAAGTATTTAAGAGTCTGTCTTCACGTCCTGCCTGCTTGGAACGTGCTCTTTGCTGCCAGAGCTATAGTCCCTTTCTTATTATTGTTTTCTTAAGCAAGGCAGGGTTTTTAGAGAGAGGAAAAATCTTTGACTAAAGCAGGCTGATCCAGTTGGAGGATGGGGGAGGGAAAACAGGCTAGTAGTTGCTCTTTCTGTTGGCTTTTATGTGCCTGTTTCCTGAGGTTCTTGCAAATTGACTCTTCGTTTTCGCCCAGATCCTGCCGAGGTGGCGACTGATAGAGAAGAGGATGTGTTGGCATGGCCATGCAGGTGGAGGGCTTCACACAGATCCAAAGGAAGGGGTAAAACATGGCTTCATTGCTATTGCTTTTTAAATAAAAAATGTTATCAGCAACAATTTGTGCAAAACTGTGTTGGTAGATACGTGAGTAGATACAGTTTAATTGTCAATGTAGACTTGCTTACTCTTAAATCACCAAATGTTTGTAATAACTGTGTTCAAGGGCTTCATTTGTTTTATTAAAAATACAATTTAATGTTACACATCCCTTTGAAATTGGCCTGTGTTATGTAAAATTCTTTTGATGGAAACTATGTTCCAATAATTTACTGTGGTTTACTCATCCTGACTTGACATTCAGGGTGGTAGAAATCAGTTTGTGGGTACAAGTCAGTGCACCACTTGGTAAAATCACACTTGCAATAGGAGGGGAGAGAAGTAATTGAACTGTGTATATTTTTACTTGGATTTAATATTAATGCATCTGTTATATTTTGACTGTATTTCTATTCAGGAAGCACACGTTAAAGTAAGGATGGTGGTATGTAAGGGGAACTGTCTCTTATTAGCCCAAATGATTCCAGTTAGAGGCAGTTTTGGGTTAGAGCAACATGGGATCAACTGTGTGATTACAATTGCCAAAGCAAAGCTCCTGTGTTCATGTAACTTTGATCTTCTCATTTCCTGGGCAAACTTATTTCTGATGCTTTGTGGATTTGCAGAATGATTCTGTGTGATGGGTATAACTTGTTCAAACTCAGGTGGGATCTTCCTAAAATTAGTGAGGACCACGTTGATGACAAACAGTCCTCAGTGCAGAGTCTTTCAAGGCTGCTTTGCTGATGTTTAAGTGCTCTGAGGATGCCTTTCCTACAGCCTCATTTGTAAAGTAACTGAAAAGTTACACCTAAATTTTCCTCTTAAATTTTCATCTGAGAGTTGTCCCTTCATTGAATTCCAACCTGTTTGTGTTACAGGCAGAAGTTAGGAGAGGTGTATGTTTTATGGTAAGAGGGAATTCCATAACCTGAAGTGTAGCCAGCTTGTTTTGGCAAACATCTGTGATCTTTTCTGCATGAGGCACAGGGGGAAATGGAATAATTGGCCATCTCCAGTCAGTGGTACCACTGGCTCTGCATGTAACATTAACTTTAGACTCATTTTGAGACCCTCCTTGCAACAGGTATAGGCTCTTTTCAGAGACTTGCTAGGAAAGACAGACTTCAAACCTAGCAGATTATCCTTCTCTCTTTCACATTGAAATTTCAAGGGTTTCTCTGCTCAGAAAGGAAATGGAAAGTTCTCTTCACCAAAACACTAGTAGCCTTAAGGAATGTTGGTTGTTCCTTAACTTTAAGACTCACTAGGAATACGTTATCCAGAAATTTTGATGCCAGATGATATTTTTTTAGTTTACTAGACAATGTAAATATTTTTGTGGTGTTGTCCCTTCACTCATTACTTGCAGCTATTCCTGTGTAAAGCAATTCCCTGAGTTTTTTATTCCAATAAAACATGGTTAACACAGGACATTGCCAGTTAAGGCTGCTGTCCAACTAAACAAATATCTGTTAGGATTGTCCAGGAGAAAGCAGCAGGAGTTTTAGAAGTTGTAAAATGTGTGAAGAGTGGAAGAAAAAACAAAGAAAAAACAAAGTAACATTGTGTGCAAATGCCAGGAGCTTCTCAGCAAATATGAAAGGAAGGAAATCTGATATTCCAAGTGCAGTTCTTATATTTCATGTATACATGTACTTGTATTCAGTGCATAAAAAAAAATGGCACCCAATTTCCCCATTTTCCCCCTAGGATTATGCTCTTAGGAGAACTGCAGGTGATACACATGTCAGCTGTATTACAACTTTCTCTATTCCAAACTTTTTTTGGCAAACCAGCAGCCTGTTCATTCGGAATCTGACTTTGGGAGTGACATTTTTAAATTGCCCCTTTTGTAGCAGCTTCAGGGGTACAGAACTGAATACTAAGGATAAACACAGAGTGAAGGGCACGTTTCCTTCATCTCACATGTAACCAGAAGAGAAGTTTACACATCTCTCTGGTTTTGCAAAACAAGTTTGACTGCAACACTGGCTGATGTGCTGAGTACTGAAACTGAAACCAGTGCTGTTCTTTACCAGCTTTGGGGTTTTTTTTTGTGTGTTAGTCTTTTGTATACAGAATGGATGGGAATGAAAAGTGTGCTGCCTGGCATGATGCTAAGCAGACATGCATTCCTTTCTTATGGAAAGACTGGTAATGAGGAGGGAGCCCTGATAACTTGCCTTCCCCTACCACCATTTCACTCAGCTGCTCTTTAATTTTTAGTTATCACTTGCTTTCTGTGGAGGGGAGGGATAGCACAAAGACAGAAGACTAAGTGCATTTTCCCCAAAGTTTGAAAGAAAACTCAGGCCCTGGTTTGACATTTATTTAAGCTGATAAAGCAACTGGAATAAGAATCCTCCCTCCCCTTGGTGTGGTGCTCTGTAGGTCATGGTGTGGTCACGCAGTGACCAGTGTGAAGTGATGGAGCTGAACAATAACTGCCCAAATGGTGGGGACCAGACAACCAGTGCTGCTTCTCTCCCAGCAAGCTGCAGGCCCTGGACTGAAGCAATGCAAGTGCCTCCTGCTATAACAAAAAAAAATCTGTTCTCAGCTTGTTTTTCCTCAAGCTGCTGAATTTGAAGGTTTATCTGCCTCTTTACTGGGACAAAACCCTGCAACAAACACCCAAAGAGTTTTCTGCCAGGTTCATGCACTGAGTCAGTTCCTCGAGGTGTTTCATGGCTCCAGAGGTGGTGTGAAGTGGGCTGGGATGGTCCAATGGAATGCTGGAAAGAGAGGAGAAAGCAGGGCAGGAGACATCTGTTAGTGCTTGGGAGAATAAGGGGTGCAGGTGTGAGGCAGCTCGTGCTGGGAGAATACAGAGTGAGCACACGGGAGCCACAACTGGGGGTGTCCTTCAGCAGCAATGCAGCTTAAATGCAAGTCAAACTGCCTCTTCCTTCCAGCACACCTCTGGCACAGGCTTTATCCACACACTGATGGGGCCAGCCCAGGGAATGCTTTGCAATGCTCAGTAACCTTGGAGACTGGGAAGAGGAGTGATGACCTTCTTTTTCCCCCCCCTCTTAAGGTATTTCCAAAGGTCCAGAACCTGCATAGGATGGGTAGAGGGGAGAGCAAGATGTTCAGTGCTCTTTCTTTTGCAAATAGTTTTCAATATTTGGTAGTGTTTTGAAAACATGCTGCATTCGAAGAGAGGAAAAGACTTTTCTTCTTTGCTCCCTGCTGTATTAGATTTATAATACCTTAGATTTATAATACCTTTTTTTCCACTCCTTCCATTTCTGTAGAAATAGACCTTGAAAGGAAATGTAAAACATTACTACCATTTAAAAGGAGGTAAAATAAATGCATCTCTTAACCTTTTTATATACCTCAGAGAATCAAAAAAGGGCCTGAGTCCATTGAACAGATTGCTCATTTTAATTCTTAATGTTGCCACTTGCATATTTAAACAATTTTTAACTCGTGTTTCTGTACAACAGTAACATTTATTTCATGGTAAACTTTGATGTAATATGTGTGCATTTTGCATCCTTTGATATTTCTTCTTGTTCCTTTGCAAGGCCTTTGGCAAATGACTGGCTGCCTTCTGACTTTTTTCTGAACAGATTTACTTCTGTCACTGTTCAGAGCCATGAAAAAAGGAAATAGAGTCCTTGTTTGCAGCCAGTGTATTTTGTTCCTTTTAATAGCTTTTCTGTGCAAAGTCTGCCTAGCCAATAGCAACATATAATTAGAACTGCTCTGATTGCAGCAGTATCTTCTGTGTTAATGTAATATCAATTTTTTTTAACTTCCTTTTAACCTGTAAGTGGTGATGAAAGGTATTTTCCAAATGTTTGAACTGCTTTTTATGCATATCCTTGGCTCACATGGAAAGATTCGTGTGTATGCTGCAGCAGATATCTCCATCTCCTGAGTGGGTAGAACACCACAGAAACACTTTCACATCCTCTCTCCACTTACAAATCCTCCATATATCCATTCTCTAACAGTCATTTGCAATGTGCTCATCCTGTGTAATGCTCCAGTATATTTGCAGTTGTTGACAAAATGCCACTTTTAGTCTTCTTTGAAGCTGTGACTAGAAACACTGAGATGAATTTCCTGGTGCTTTTAAAAGCTTGTATTTATAGGATTGGCTTCCCTGGTTGCCTCAGCAATTTTGCTTTTTAACAGACCTCTCCTTCCTTGCTTATTCACACCTTAACAGAGTATTTCTATTCTAGTTTAGTTTATCCTCAAGAATTAAGATACGTTCTAAGAGTTCCCCTTTGTACTGACTTCCATCATGAAGAGTCATTTTTAAAAGGAGTGCACTAACTTTTTGTTTCCCATCTCTCCCCCCAACTATAAAATATTGCCTGAAATGGAGAGATTAGCAGCCCTTGCTGCCCTCCCTTCAGTTTTAGATAACCCTTGTTTCTTTTCAAGTTAACCCCAGTGCAGCCAACCCAGAAAAGCAAGGTGTTGATACTTGTGCTTTGTTACTGCATGTTCTCTTGATTAGGAGACGTGGTTTAGGCTGCAGAGAATTTAGCTCATGAGTTTAGTGGAATATATCTTAAGTGTCAGTGATACGGAATCCATCTGGAAAATAGCCTATATTTCTGTAAAAAAATACAACAACAATAACAAAAATACAATAACCAAAGCACCACTTCAACCCAAACCAAAAAAGTAATATTTTTCCAGATGGCTTGTTAACTGGATTGTGGTCTTTAGAGCAAAGTTTGAGGTTTGGAGGAGAACTGAAGAATTCAGTTAAAATTGATGTAATCAGTGAAGCCAACATATGGCCATGTCCATCACCTGCCTCCAGAAGCCTGATTACCCAACGTCAGGGAATGTTCTCCAAACTACTTAGGTTTATTGTAGACCTTTCACACTTCCTTCTTGCCTTGGGTTTTTCTGTTGCTTCATTAATTTTTTTTCTTTTTTGCATTTCCCTCATGTTGTTTCTAAGCTATTTTAAAACATCTTTCAAAAAGAAGTACCAACAAGCCCTTGCATTTCGTACAGAAATCTTGGGAAGATAAAGAAGGGTCGGTTTATTTGCTCTGTGAAGTATTTCAGGGTGGTGAATTGTGGCTCTCTCTGTATTCCAGTTCCAGAACATGTGAATTAAGAACAACTCATGAACTTCAGCAGCATGTCATGGATATAAACATGCAAACAGCTTGAAATTTTAATGGGCAGTCCTGCTCTCAAACATTGTGAAGTGTCTGTTGCCTATCAAATAAAATACAGAAGTGCTCTAAATGTATAAAATTCATTCTCATTTCTATTGTTGTTTTGCTTGCTGAGGAGTGTCTATAGTGCAGTGCCTTTGCTCTTGCCAACAGCTGAGGGAGATCGATGCCAAGAAGATCATCAGGGCGATGCTGTCGTACGTGTGGCCCCAGGACCGGCCGGACCTGCGCGCCAGGGTCGCGCTGTCGCTGGGCTTCCTGGCCAGCGCCAAGGTGAGGACACACCCCTCGCACTGCCACAGTTACTGCTCAGCTGCATGTGCTGGTTTAAAAGTTAACCAGCAGGGGAAAATGAACTCAATTCAAAAGAGAGATTTATAAGTCAGAATAACAATTTATTAAAATAATACAATAAGTACGATTTTACAGACAGATAATTGGTTTTAACCCACAAAACCCAAATGTATAACCCAGCACCCTGGGGTATGAACAAAAGTGGTATTCCTTGGCCCCCCCCAAAGTCCAAAGTAAAGGGAGAGGGGAAAAACCTGCTGGTGGGAGAGCTGCTGCAGTCTGGTCAAAAGTGGTGATTTCAGTCCAGTTGAGGGTGGTGGTCTCAGTCTGGTTGAAGGCGGTGGTCTGCAGTCTTCCTCTGGATCCCACGAGAGGTGGCAAGGTTCCGAAACTCCCAGTTATATACTCTCCAGTTCAGGCGGGAGTGCTCAGTCCCTCCCTCAAAGTAGGGAATTCCATCAAAGGGTATCAGAGTGGGGAATTCCATAAAAGGGTATGAGGACAGGAACATCCCCCCACCTCGCAGGCCTCCACTGACAACAGTTTCTGGGGAAATGGCATGGAAGGCTATAGAATGCACAGCTTTGGGTTGCACCCATCAGTGATGAATTGGTCCCAGCCGTTCTAACCAGGGCACTGCACCAGGGAGAATTGGCTTTTTTATTATTTAAGGGATTTACACTCTTAAGATATCCCTTTCCTGTGCAAGGTGCGTACAGTAATAAAAATAATAGCTTGAATTTTTGGACAGGGTGTGTCTGCAGGTGATGTGTGTTTAGGGAGATGATGATGACAGCCAGAATTTTAATTTCCATTGGTTTATTTCCATTCCATTAGGTTAGCCCAGGGTTTTCCATTGCTGATTAGGTTGGATCTCAGGGAAAGGTTCTTCCCTCAGGGGGTGGTTGGGCACTGACCAGGCTCCCCAGGGCAGTGGGCACAGCCCCAAGGCTCCAGGAGGGTTTGGATGATCCTCTGAGGCACAGGGTGTGACTCTTGGGGATGGGCCTGTGCAGGGCCAAGAGTTGGACTGGATGATCCTTGTTGGTCCCTTCCAGCTGAGCACATTCTGTGATTCTGTGAATTATTTACCTCAGAGATTATGGGAAATTGAGTTAAAGGTTGCCTACAGACCTTCTTGTGTGATGCTGGATGTGTCAAACAGGATTTCTTCAAGGCTCTGCGTCCATTCTCAACCCTGAACTTGAGCAATGTGGTGGTACCTACTCACAGCTCTTGCTTTTCCTGTGGAAAGGAGATTTGAGCTCCAGTCCTTTGATATTTCTCTATGAGATGACAGTGCAATTTTATTGTTTTTAATATGAAAGAAGCTGTGTAACTGATTTTGTGTATTTAAGAACCATGCTTTCATTCAAGTGATTTTTCTTGTAGCCTTGATTATGAAATGGAGGGTTGCTCTTACCTGTACTTCATTGTGTGAAAGGATCTCCTGTACTCTTGCTTGCAACAAAATTAGTGTTCATTTGTTCTTATAAAGAATTTGGCATGCAAAAGCTTTCTGCACATTAATGGAGGATATATTTCAAATTTTGTGCAAACCCTTTAAAATAGTTCAGAAGTGCAAATGTGAACTTTGTGCAAAAAAAAAAATTCTTGCGGTAAAAAAAAAAAGTAAATATTTGATTGTAAAATATTGGGAGAAAATTGTGTGAATTCCATTGAGACATACAGGCTCAAATGGGTTGCTTCTAAGGATGGCAATTTTTACTAAACATAGAGCTAATGGTAGTGGCTTGCTGAGCCAAAGTAAGTACTGCTTGGCAAGGAGGTGTAGCACTTAGCCTGTGGCACTGGCAACTTATGAGCACTCAGCACCATTGCCATGTTATGAAAAGAGAGAGGAAACAAATTTCAGCTATTGTGGGTGTTAAAAGAGGAGTGCTTGGGAGAGAAATGTGCTCCTTTTTTTTGAGCTGGAGAGGAAAGTCCAGTCTTGTGGTCTGCAGCTCTTTCTCAAGAGCTGTTTATCTCTCAGGTACTCGTGGGTACTGTCCACAGGAGATATTTTGGGTTGTGCTGCTGTTCAGGACGTTGCTGATAATGCAGGTGATGACATGCAGAATATGGCAGGTCTGTGCAAGTCAACTTCCCCCCTTTTTGTGTCCTGTGCAAAATACACAGTAGTGCTTTACATTAGTTAAAAACTCTTGGGGAAACTCTACTCAAAATGCAGATGCCTTGAGGTTTTGTAATGTAGATTTACCAGGTGGATATGAAAATTCTTCTAGCTCTTTTTAAAGCCTCTTATTAGTAATGTTAATAATAATAAACTGAAGGCAATTTCTAAACGTTTGAAGTACTTTTTTCTTCTCCCCCCTTCCCTAATTTATAGTGTTATATGAATATGATGGAGACTGTGAATCCAGCATCTAATCCTGCATGTGACAGCAGTGTACCTTGCCTTTAAGAAGTCTATTAATGTTTCAAGCAGCTTTCTGGGGTGTTATGAAAACAAAATTGATGACCAGGATGCCTGTAAATAGCTCTGCATTTGGTGTAAAACAGTTATTGTATTTCTACTGGGAGATAGAGGTGTTTCCCCACCAAAAAATCAGACACTTAATTACCCTTTGGGGAAGTAACTGGATGTTTGCATCTCTTAAGTATTCTCTTAAGTTTCCCTCTACAGGTTTGTACAAGGCAGCCTGGAAGCTCTGATGTCCAGAGCAGATTCCCAGAAGCCAAGCAGAAAACCTGTTGAGCTTTGCCCAGGTTTTAGGAGATGCTTGTTAAAACCGAAGTGTTTTGTGAGAATGTTTGTTTTGACAAACAAGGATCTCATTGGGAAAACACATAGCAAGCTCTCTGTGGAAAATATAGATTATAACTGGCTGGAGTAAAAAATTTCATGGATGTCTTCCATCTACCCTTTGCTCCTGATCTTTGTTTTGTTCTGTCATTGCAAAGCTGTGGTTGAATATCTGCAATTTAAGAAGTTACCCTTCATCTCGTGAGCTGTACTCACTCTTACTTTGTGGAAAGAACTTCTCTTAAATTGCTTCAGACTTTACATGTGCTAAGTGTGCGTGTGGTTATTGTGACATAACTGATGTGCAGTAGTTTGTTACAGAGCTGAGGTAATTCTGGCATGTCTTTGAGCCCTGAACATCTGCTGCTGTTCCAGAGCAAACAAAAGGTCACTTTGTCCTAGGGAAAACAAAGTACAAACTAGTTTACCTGTCGCTTTCCTGGCCCGTGTGTAATTCTGTGAAGTTTACTCCTTGTACCATTTGGGAGCTCTTTGTTCTGGTTGCTTGTGAGGTTAATTACAATGTGAGGTTCATTACAAACCACACAAGCAGTTTGTTAAAGTTTCTCTGCAATTTAATTGTGTCAGCACAAAAACACCAGCATGTTTTTCTCCTCACTGCATTTCTTTGTTCACTGTGGAACACAGTGAATCCTGTATCTGAAGGATTTGTTCTAAAGGCTGCTACTCCTGAGGGGGCTTCATAGTGAACTGGGTGATCATGATGGCTCTACCAGTCACCTGCCCCAGGAAGAAATACTTCTGTAAGCCTTTTAGTTTGGTATTGATAAAGTTAGGTTTCCAGTTAAAACACAGAAGCTGTAGGGTGGCCTCAGTTTTATTCTAAGAAAACTCCAGAGGAATAACAGAGGACAGGTAGGTTATAAAATTCTCAGCCACAGGAAAAATATTGGGAGTTCACACCCAGTTTGATTTGGTTACTTATCCACAAAACAGCTGGAGATCATTCCTCCTTTTCCTGCTGCTGGAAAAATAATTTGTCTCTTTAAATCTTCCAGTTCAGTAAAATTCACTTTCCAAACAAAAGCCAGTTTGTGTGCAGCTACTACTGAAGAGCCTGCAGTTACAATCTGTCTTGACTCCCTTTGTGGGGCCCAGTTGCCTGTCATTGAGCAAATGATTGTGATTTTTGGTTCCTTTTTGTCTCCACGTAACCGCTGGTGGGATTGTGAGCCTTCAAAGCCAGCTGTTAGTCTGGCTTTTTATGACAGGATGGAGTCTGCTCTGGGGCTGGTAAGGTCTTTTCTTCCTTGGAAGATTTGTTGTATTATTATGACATGCTTTAAATTTTTACCTTAAATATTTATAGCCTCTGTTAGACGTGTGTGTGATCTGAAAGATGCCGGAGGAAGGCAGGTGAGAGGAGTACACAAGGCAGTGTCTGTGTTGTCAGACACCAGAATTAGCCTGCTCACGTTCAGTAGATCTTGTTTGTCTTTTTCCACGTTCTCTCTCCCATGTTTTGTCTTCTCCACTGAGGTATGTATAGCAAATGCTTCCTTACTTTTCTGTTTTATCCCTTCTTCTTCTGTGCCGCAAGGAGAAGTGCTGTGGCTGCTGAGGAGCTGGATTAAACACATGATTATGACAAAATCACCTGTCACCTCTGTCAGCCTGCAGTGGTTTTTGGCCTGGTGGTCACAGACCAGGCTTGTGTTATTCATGAGCCAGAGAAGTCTTTCAGACTATCTGCATTTCTCCTGACTGCTAATTCAGGAGCAGGATTGGCTTGGCTGAGGAGGCAGGACACAAGGGTTGAATTGCAAATTTAGACTGCGTGCGAAGATAACAAAATCTGTCTGATCAGTGAAGCTTGTACTGTGATCCGGGTGTTTGAGCCCTTTCTGGGGGCTCAGGTGGAATTAGATAATTGGAATAAACCTTTAGCTTTTCGAGACGTTTCAGGTGACAAGTATTTAAAATTGGGGTTTTTTCTTACTGGAAAAAGTCTAGTTCGGGTCATCGGCTTCATTCACCTGAAGCCAGGTGCTTCTTCCCTCATCTGGACCACATTTTGCAGCTGCTTTAGCAGCCTCTCCTCCCCAAGGGGTGTGGAGGTTTCTGTTTGTACCTTCCCAAATGGAGTTGCTGGATGTGTACCTTTATATTGGTCCAGAGATAAATTCAGTCATCTTCATGTCAACGTTTCTCATTGAATTATTGGCAGAAGAAGAGTTCACTGTGTACGAATTTTATCTTGTTGGGGCTCAGCCTGTCACTAATTCATCATCTTTATTAAACAAGAAACACTGGGAAGAGCAAAATGAAAGATAAGGCTGTTTGCCTTAAAAGTAGTGTAGTCCCATGGGGGAATAGAGATGATATTGCATTGTCAACTTAAAACAGTGCAGTCATTAAAGAAAATGTTTGAACTCATTTAAGCATGATTCATTACAGTGCAGCCTGCTGTTAAATGGGGGCAGTTGAGTTGGGATGACTTCATGGGTGCTGTATTTGCTTTCCAATAAATTCAGGCAAGGATTAGCTATTAATTCAAACCCAGAAATAGAAAATGTACAAATTCATATTAAAAGAGTCTCTTTAATGGGAATTGTTATCAAGCTTTCAGGCATTAGGCAGAGGAGGGATGCCTGTATAGATACATTGTGTAAGACAATTGTTTTTCATGGTAGATTTTCATAGTCTACCAAGGTGTGCTTAAAGCTTTTTGTTCTGTGCCAGCAAATCTAAAGAGAGAAATGTGAATTTATGCAGAAGGATGAAATTTTGTTTCCATTACTGTGAACGTGATTTCATTGACTTAACAAATTGAGTAGGAAAGGCCTGTTTCTAATAATGGCCTCTCATCTCTTGCTATAAACTTTGTAAGATTAACTTTTTTCTTTTTTAAATTACTGGAAAGCAGACTGTCTTGATTGCTAATGAAATGCAATACTGTGCTGCCTTGTTCTTATTCAAGCTTTACCCTCCAGGAGTCAGAACAACTATAACCTGAGACCAGGCTTTAAATTTCATTTAAAACTCTATTGGGAAGAATTATATCGATGTAAAAGAAGACGTTACTGCAAAATTGTAGGCTGTTACTGGCTAAATTAATTGTGAGTGGAGAACAGCAGTTTAAAGAATACATCTCTTCTCTTTAAATGGACTTTAAAATATATCTGTAGTTCTATTTCAAAACTACCTGTAGTGTAGTGTAGTCTAGTGAAGAATAAAATCCCTGCAGAGAGATTTGTGAGAATCAGCAGCAAATCAAGACAGTCTGCATTACAATATTCTTATTTTCTCCTGAGAAGTCTCTCCCAGGAAAACCTGTACTTTGTCATGTTGGTTGTCACTGGAACACACATGGTAGTAGATTCATCTTTATTAAGAACAAAATGCCACCCCAAAGTGGAGTTTTGGTAACTCTGAAGTGGGGTTTTTGTTTATACTGTGGAAGGGAGGGGGCATTTGAGACTTCCACAATTCCAGTCTATTAAAAGTGGAGCTGTTCTGAAGGACTCTCAGGCTGCCCTGGGTACATTTCAGAAGGATGTGTTTGAGGTGGGACCTGATCTTTCAGCTGTTTCTCTTTTCAATCACAAATTAACCAGCAATAACCTCACCTACGTGCCCTCAGATCTCATCTGTCTCCTCTCAGGAGTAGTCTAGATTATGCTGTATTAAGAATTTAGAGGTGGTTTTTTTACTGTATTTCATAGGAGAGACACAATGGAAAAGGAGAAAATGGATTCCTTTCTCATTTGCATTTAAATCTTTTGCCTGAAACACTGTCTAAAAAAATTAACAGTACAGATTCCAAAAATTAACTTTTTTTTTTTCTTTCATCCTATAGTTTACAAAAATATTGTCAAAACTCCAGTTACTCCCCATGGTGAAGTTCTGTCTTCTACTATTTGCCATAATTTGTAACACTGGGAATATTGGATACTGGATACTAGCACTCTTGTCTCTCAAAACCTAGTTTTATCTAGGTATTTTTTTCCCTGGGCTTTCAGCTCTGACAGATGTCCCTAAATACAGTTGAGATCTAAGTGGATATCCAAAACATTTGGTGGAGAGAGCAGAAATATCTGTCTCAATCTGCTTTGTGTTTTTGTTTCTTCTCATGTAAAACAATTTATCATCTACCCAGACTTTTTTCCAAATACTGAAAAAAACCCCAGCTTTAAAAAAGTTAACTTACTGTAAAGTGTTTAAACATCTGCCATGATTCTAAAATTGTAGGTCATAACAGACTTGTTCAACTGCTAAAAAACTTGCGTCCATATTTTCAAATCTTGACAGTTAGAAGCAGTTGGAATTAAGGAATTCTAATTAATTCTATGAAGTTTGTCAGCAAATTGTCTTATTGGTATGAATTAGTGACGTAACAATGGAACATTAACAAGACTTGAGAATTTTATGTTTTCTATGAGGTTTTCAGTATTTTCTTGTGCTACATCATGCAAATAAAAAAATCCTAAAGCTGGTGTGTTCACATATCCAGCTGTTTTGGGTTTTACAAGCAGGGGGACCCCTGTTAAAGGAGATGTATTTGGGGTTTGCTGCTCCTCCAGAGATGCGCAGTGACAAGCTGTGGATGTGACTTGGGGATTTTGTTTGAAAACTCCTATTTTTAAAGCAATTTGGGGTTTCTTGTAGACTGTACAGAAAGTCTTTTGTGCTGCTGTGCCAAACCCCAGGCTTGATGTAGATAATGTTTATAGTGATGTTGCAAATGGAAAGCATTATTTGATTCTAAGGTGGTATTAACAGTCAGGGAGACAAAGGATGGCTCGGCTTGTTTTCTTTGACTTCCCTGGAGCTCTGGTTTAACACACCTTGATGACCCCGTGGTAGCAATGTGTGGGTGAGTGGTTTCCTTTGTAACAGGGGTTGTTCATACTGAATATTGTCAGCACCACAAAGAGCAAACAGCCTTTAATGACGACATAATTTAGTAGCACTGTGAGTGTGTGTCATGCAGCGTCTGCAGCTTGATTCATCTCCTGGGCTTGCCCTGCTCTCCTGAGGGCTCAGCCCCAGTTCAGGGCCTTGGCAGTGTACAGTTTGTTTAGGGTAGAAATTGATACTTAAAAGGAGACAGTGAGAGACACAAACTAACCCTGCAGTGCCAGCAGTAAAGGTTTAACAGTGTGGAGAATACTGTGCTTGAAGTAAAGAGCCATTCACCTGCACGAAGTTTTTAAGGACTGAATATAATAATATAGCAATTTCACAAACAATAATCATGGACATAGAGGTGTTTTAATGCATATGGACTAATTGGTGTTCTCATGCTTTCAGGCCATGAATATATTGGTTCCCTTCATGTTTAAATATGCAGTGGACAACCTGAACCAGGTATCTGGGGACGTGCTGAACCTCGGCGATGCACCGAGCACTGTGGCAACCCTGGCAACTGCTGTTCTCGTGGGCTGTGAGTGGCATTCCCAAAGCTGGGGATGTGTTAATGTCCTTCAGGAAGGGAGGGAACAGCAGAGCTTCTGCCCCTTGCACTGCTGAGCACAGTGGATGGTTATTTCATGGCATCACAGAACAGTTTGGGTTGGAAGGGACCTTAAAACTCATCTCATTCCACCCCCTGCCACGGGCCCAGTCCAGCCTGCCCTCGGACACTTCCAAGGATAGGGCAGTCACAGCTTCTCTGGGTAACCTGTGCCAGGGCCTCCCCACCCTTACAGCCAAGAATTCCTTCCCAGTATCCCATCTCTCCCTGCCCTCTGGCAGTGGAAACCCATTGCCCCTTGTCCTGTCCCTGCAGGCCCTTGTCCCCAGTCTCTCTCCAGCTCTCCTGGAGCCCCTTTAGGCCCTGGAAGGGGCTCTCAGGTCTCCCTGGAGCCTTCTCTTCTCCAGGTGAGCACCCCCAGCTCTCCCAACCTGGCTCCAGAGCAGAGGGGCTCCAGCCCTCACAGAATCATAACTATTTCATAGTTACTCTCTGTTGATGTCTCTTCCCAATATTCTCTGACCTTGCTTCTGGTATTCCAATTAAAAATTGAAATAATGCTTACAGAAATCATTCTTGATTAAAAATCCTGCCCTTTCTCATAACCAGCTGCAAAAGAAACTGATTTAAATGGGCACACAATGGTTTGTAAATGAAAAATTGCATAAAGCTTGGACCAATTAAGTATAAATTACCTTTGAACTAGGAATGTTGAAAATATATAAAGAATGAGTCTAGTGTAATTTCATGCATGAAGGGAAGTTGAAAATATAATTATTTTCATTTTGTAAAGTTTTTCATCCTTTTTTAGATGGTATCTCAAGAGCGGGGGCAGCGTTGTTCAATGAAGCAAGAAATGCAGTATTTGGGAAAGTAGCTCAAAATTCCATTCGGAGGATCGCTAAGAATGTTTTCCTGCATCTTCACAACCTGGACTTGGCCTTCCATCTGAGCAGGCAGACAGGAGCTCTGTCAAAAACCATTGACAGAGGCACCAGGGGCATCAGTTTTGTCCTCAGTGCTTTAGTGTTTAATCTGGGACCTACAATGTTTGAAGTGGCTCTGGTCAGTGGAATTCTGGTGAGTGTTGTGTGTTCACTGCTGGGATTATCTCATTTAGGATTAATACATTGATTTGCTCTTACCAAAGTCTACTGAGTATTAATAATAATAGAATTTCAAAGGTGGTTGTGAAAGCAACTCCTGTAAAGGAGGGCAATCCATAATTTGCAAATATTAGTTACTTTGAATCAACTTATTTAAAATTATTTTCACATATAACTCCTGTCTTCAGCCAGTGGTGTTTATGTGGATAGTTTTCCATGTTTTTCTTCAGAATTCAAGGGTTGGACTTGACAATCTCAGAGGTCTTTTCCAGCCCGCTTGATTCTATGATTCTATGAATTGTTGGAAAAATGAAATCAGAAAAGTAAACTATGCACACAAGTGTCAAATATATCCAGGTAAATAGGGAGGAAGCAGAATATAAATGTCCAGGAATGTTGTGGGTTAGTGTGTTGATGACAGAGGAGGGAATGATTATTGGTTGTTTCCTGTCTTTTTTTTATCCAGAACTTCAAAGTGAAAATTAGCTTTTGGAAAATTGTCTTCTCCTTCTTGCTTAATAAGCTCAATTTTAATCTTTTCTTTTATAGATCACATTTCCTGTGTTTGAAATCAGGATCTTTGGGTGTTTCTGTGCTAAAATCTAAATCTTGATTACATAGCTTACACTAAATTAAGACCAAGAATCTCGTTTTGTTTATCTCCCTTTTTAGAAGGACTTACTCAAGTTTGAATGTAACAACATCAGTTAAAATGCCTGTTGATGCTGGGTTACATTTTATAACCCTTGGAAGTTGCAGCTCCAGCTGGCTCTCAGCCAACTGCCACCATGCTTTAATTTCTCAGGGCTTTTCTCTCCTGATGTGCTCTGAAGCAGAGAAGACACTTCATAAGTTGTCTTGCAAGGCCATTTATTTTTTCTTCCACAGTCTTCAGTTTTCTTTCAAAATCCACCCAAAAAGCATAGAAAGAAATACTTAATTGAGATAACAGCACAAACATCAGCAGCATTTATGTTTTATAATGGCAGAAATAACTTTGCAGTATTATTTACATCAGCTCTTGGTCATCACCTCCCATCTTTTTATCTAAATCCTTCTTGCTGCTTTCCTTTTGAGTTTATGCCTTTGTTTAGCCTCAAGCTGTTCAGAGCAGGGTTGGGAGTCCTTGTCTCAAAATTAGAATGGCTTAGCTGGAGACAACAGTGAAGTTTTGAAAATGATTACGACTTTTTCCTTTTTATTTTGTTTGAAATGTTCCAGTATTACAAATGCGGTGCCGAGTTTGCTTTAGTCACCCTGGGGACTCTGGGAGCCTACGCAGCGTTCACCATCGGGATCACCCAGTGGAGGTAAGGCAGGCCCTGCCCTCCCCCCAGGGCACTGGGGCTGAGCTCCCTGAGCTCCCTGAGCTCCTGCCCGTGCCCACCCTGCCCGTGCCCACCCTGCCTCTGCAGGACCAAGTTCCGCATCGAGATGAACAAGGCCGACAACGACGCCGGCAACGCTGCCATCGACTCACTGCTCAACTATGAGACTGTGAAGGTAAGGCCAGGCTTGACTCCCAGGCTCTTTGTCTTACTTGTGTCAGTGAGTCATAAGATTCATCTTTTACAGGGCTACAACTTTGGAGCAATAGCCTGGTTTTAAACATGATTCATTTGCAGAGCACTGCATGGCATGGACAGAGGAACATGGAGGTTTTAGTGGGGCTTGAAAGAATCTATTTGCTAATAGAGAGTGAGAAGTTTCCTTCATGACTGAATCACCTTCACCATCAGTTTCTGCAAAATGTAAACTTAGTCTTGAAGATGAAGTTTAGGTTGGATCTCAGAGAAAGGTTCTTCCCCAGAGGGTGGTTGGCACTGACCAGGCTCCCCAGGGCAGTGGGCACAGCCCCAAGGCTGCCAGAGCTCCAGGAGGGTTTGGACAGGGTGGGATTGATGGGATGTCCTGGGCAGGGTCAGGGGTTGAACTGGATTGAAGTTGATCCTTCCAGCTCAGCCTATTCTCTGATTCTTTTCTCTCTAGTTTTTAGATCTGTTGGAGAGCAGTTTTGTGTGTATCTGTGCATGTAGCATGTTAATACTCTATTTTGTAACAGCTTAAACAATCTGATGATGTTTGAGGCTGCCACATTTACCATTTTTGTGTATATTGTAGTATTTCAATAATGAAAAATACGAAGCCCAGCGGTATGATGAGTTCCTGAAGATCTATGAAAATGCCTCTCTGAAGACTACCTCTACTTTAGCTCTCCTCAACTTCGGACAGAGCGCTATATTTAGTGTTGGCTTAACAGCCATCATGGTGCTTGCCAGCCAGGGCATTCTTGCAGGTAACTCATCTGTCTATAAGCTAAAGATGACTCTCCTTTACCATGATTCATCCATAAGAGAGGAGTTAATTTTAACTAACCTGTGGTTGATGTGATAGTTCATTTTGAGTGGTTTTACTTGAGAGCTTTTACTTAAGAGTTTTGCCTGTTTCTGCTTCTTGTAGTATTATTAATTCCATGATATATAGGTATATATATAGCAATAACTGGTATAATTTCATCAAAAACATTTTAAAAGTTAAGCAGTTAGAGAAAGATCCCAAAAAAATGTCACTTCAGGAAGTTTCTGTTGAAGGCTTATGAAAGACACTTTTAAACATGCAAATACTTCTGTGGGCCTTCTACCAAGACCCTCTGTTTTTCCCCTTCTTCCTTTCTGTGTTGGCAAGACTCAGGACTTTTCCCCAAAGTGTATATACTCATGTGCTTTGTCTCCAGTAGTTTTATTACCAGTGTCCTTCACTTTCCTTAGATTAATAAGGCACATTATTCAAACAATTGTTTCCATAAGTTAGGGGTTTTAATCTGTGTTTGTCTAATTTACTACACGAAGATTGCTTGTTTAGGAAGACAAAGTACAATTCAATTACAGTATTGGGGCGAGGCTCAGCTAAAGCAAGGTGGTTTTAGAGTAAAAATAATGATGTTTTAAACACTATTAACGTCCAGAAGAGTTTGAAGGGCAGACATTTAAACCATATGGTCTTTTTTGCATCTGCTTTTCCCTTTTTAAGAGATGCCAGGGCAGAGAAGGGTTACACTGTGAACAGATCAGTCAGGAGGTGCAGTTCATGACTGTTTAGGAAAATTTAGAATAGCTTTAAGCAGGATGGTAGAAATATGGCTTTAAATCATCTTTCTGGGCCTGTTTCAGCTGAACTAACTCGGTACTTACCTTAAGCTGTGTGTCATCCTGAGTTTTCCCTTGGTCAACCTGTTTGATACTAAGCTGCCCAGAGGTTCTCACTGTGGGTTTTAGCAGCTCTGTGGTCTATAGTATGATCATGACAAATTCTATCAGTTAGATTTGTCTGTAATTGTACTTAAGATTGTCTTTCCTGATTTGTGCTCTCATATTTTAGCTGCTCCCCTTCTAACTTATTTAGGCCCCTTTATGTTTCTCTCTGTGGAATTTACAACTGCACAATCTAATGTTTTATATGCTGCTTGCCTAATTTTCCAGTGCTATTTTATCTTTTTTAAAGTGAAATCCACACAAACATTGCCATTCATTTCAGGCACCTTCCTATATAAAATCTGATCTTCTGGGAATGGGTTTTGTTTGCTATTTAAACATATAGGTTTAGAAATGGGGTAAAACAAACTAGAATTGATTGACTTGATTATTTTTTTAAATCTTTTGGTACTTCCTGACAAGACAACCCTTCAAGTCTCCTTATTCTCTCACATCCATTTTGTCTTAAGGCAGCCTTTCTGTTGGAGATCTAGTAATGGTGAATGGATTGCTGTTCCAGCTTTCTCTTCCCCTAAACTTCCTGGGAACAGTATACAGAGAGACAAGACAAGCACTTATAGATATGAATACCTTGTTTACACTTCTCAGTGTAGATACCAAAATTAAAGTAAGTAGTAGCTTATTTTCCTAAAATATCTGGGTATTTAATAGGGCTGTTTGTGGCAATGCCGTCATTTTGTCCCATTTTCTTACCTTCCAGGTTTAATTTCTGTTCATGAATGAGTTGTGTGTAAGGATGCTGTTCTGCTTCCTCTTTAGGTGCAGTTACTGCAATAGCAGTTGAGTATTTTTCCTGCAGAGAAGCAAAAGTTGTTTCGTGGAAGCTGTGTTTGTATTGAGATATTTTTTGTTTAAGTATTCATGCCTCGTGCTTGAATTTTTATTGGTAATTAATGATGCAGAATTTATTATTGCAAAAGAAGTTGTGAGGCAGAGTGTTCACAGCAGAAATTTTTACCTCCTTTGGGGAAAAGGATGAGCGAACCAATGTCACTTGTGCAGCAAATGATAATTATTTTCCACATATCCGAGCTGGAGTGGCTGTTTGCCTTTTTCTGAGCTGGGAATGGACTGTTGAACCATTGGAGATAGTTTCTGGGCAGCAGATAAGGTGGAACTCTTCTTTTAACAGGACAAAGAGCTGGCTCCCCCCCTGCAGATCACCCCCCAGACTGCTGCCATCGCCTTTGATAATGTGCATTTCGAGTACCTTGAGGGGCAGAAAGTCCTTTCTGGAGTGTCCTTTGAAGTCCCTGCAGGAAAGAAAGTGGCCATTGTAGGAGGTAGTGGGTCAGGGTGGGTAAATGGACTAAATATGCCAATCAATGCAGAATTTAGTTTCTTAAACACAGTGCTTCTTGTGTTTGCTTTTTGTAATTTTTGTTTGTGACATCAATTCCAATTGAAGATTGTAAATGGGAAACCAGAATGTAACATTAACTTCAATTCTTTTCAATTCCAGGAAAAGCACAATTGTGAGATTATTATTTCGTTTCTATGAACCTCAGAAAGGAAATATTTATGTTGCTGGACAGAACATCCAAGATGTCAGTTTGGAAAGTCTGAGAAAGGCAATAGGAGTTGTACCTCAGGTATTCCATGTTTCCTTCTCCCCAGTAGTCCATTGCAATAGTAATTCTCAGTGTTCTGGCGCTGTGGTTCAGTGGAGGTCAATCCTAATGCAGTGGTGTTGTCTTAATTCCTTTGAAAGTCACCATGCCTGTTTTTTTTTTTCCCCAGGAAATATTATGTTTTAATGTGCATCATCATATAGATCCAATTTCTGAAATGTGTTTAAGCCTCCCCATGAGAAACTGCCTCCAGCTTTAAGTGATTTAGCTTTATAGTTGATTACCACCCATAATGAGTTAGCAAAGTGGTGAAACTATGCATGACGTACATATTTAGGACACAAAATGTATTAATCCCATTTTTGGGGAAAGAAATTTCCCCAAACACTTTAACATTCAGGCTTTGTAGAAAAATATAAGCTGTTCTGTATTGATTTCTTTCATGGTTTGGGGACAGTTTTGTCATGGTTTCTTCTTTGAAATGTTCTTTCCCCCACTGCAGGATGCTGTTCTCTTCCATAACACCATCTACTACAACCTGCTGTATGGCAACACAGGGGCCAGCCCCGAGGAGGTGTACGGGGTGGCCAGGCTGGCAGGGATCCACGATGCCATCCTCAGGATGCCCAATGGCTACAACACCCAGGTCGGGGAGCGAGGCCTCAAACTCTCAGGTAGGATCTCAAACACACAAGTTCTTTATGTGCCTTTTGCTGCCCCAAAGTTCAATGCAGAGTTTATTCCTGTGCTGGTTTAAAAGTTAACCAGCAGGGGAAATGAACTCAATTCAAAAGAGAGATTTATAAGTCAGAATAACAATTTATTAAAATAATGCAATAAGTACAATTATACAGACAGACAAGTGGTTTTAACCTGCAAAACCCAAATGTATAACCCAGCACCCTGGGGTATGAACAAAAGTGGTGTTCCTTGGCCCCCCCAAGTCCAAAGTAAAGGGAGAGGGGAAAAACCTGCTGGTGGGAGAGCTGCTGCAGTCTGGTCAGAAAGTGGTGATTGCAGTCCAGTCGAGGGTGGTGGTCTCAGTCTGGTTGAAGGCGGTGGTCTGCTGTCTTCCTCTGGATCCCACGAGAGGTGGAAAGGTTCCCAAACTCCCAGTTATATACTCTCCAGTTCAGGAGGGAGTGCTCAGTCCCTCCCTCAGAGCGGGGAATTCCATCAAAGGGTATCAGAGTGGGGAATTCCATAAAAGGGCATGAGGACAGGAGCACAGGCCTCTGCTGACAACAGTTTCTGGGAAATGGCATGGAAGGCTATAGAATACACAGTTTTGGGTTACACCCATTCAGTGATGAATTGGTCCCAGCCATTCTAACCAGGACAATTCCTCAGTCAGACTTGCTTTTAGCTTATTTACCTTATGATACAGAATCGTTAGTGTTGGAAAAGACCTCCAAGATCATCAAGTCCACCCTTTGATTAGATCCCACCATGCCCACTGAACCATAGTGCCAAGTGCCACGTGAACACTTCCAGGGGCAGTGACTCCACTGTTGCCCTGGGCAGCCTGTGCCAATGCTTAACCACTCTTTCAGTGAAGAAGGTTTTCCTAATATCCAACCTGAACCTCCCCTGGTGCAACTTGAGCCCGTTTCCTCTCCTGTCCCTTCTTCCCTGGGAGCAGAGCCCAGCCCCCCCCAGCTCCCCCCTCCTGTCAGGGAGTTGCAGAGCCAGAAGGTCCCCCCTGAGCCTCCTTTTCTCCAGGCTGAGCCCCCCCAGCTCCATCAGCTGCTCCAGCCCCTTCCCCAGCTCTGTTCCCTTCTCTGGACATGCTCCAGCCCCTCAATGTCCTCATAGTGAGGGGCCCAAAAAACATAACTATAAAGGCTAAATATTAATATGAAGATCCACAGTGTAAGGCAGCTGGAGTTTTAAAGGAGTGTATTTTCAGGGGATATTGTTGTGTGAGATGATATGTAAGCATGGATATGCATCTATGTAAAAATGCTCTTTCTCATAATCTGACTAGTGGCATAAAAGGGGAAACTTTCTGTGTGTGTGCTTTGGGCCCTGTTCATGCTGAAGGGCAGGAGCAGAGGGTGCAGGGGGTGCAGCAGAGCTCCTGCCTGGTGTGGGGACAGCTCTCTGTGGTGTTTCTTACTCTGCAGCTGCTGCAGTCAGGAGTCCTGGTCTCTTTGTAACAGCAGATCAGAGGTTACAGCCTGTCCCCAGAACAGTGTGCATGGCAGCTGAAGGGGAATACAGGGAAGAGGACAAGGGAAATAAGAGATGTGAAACACAAATCTGGGTGAGGGAAGAGAAAGATACAAAATAGGTACTGGCAGAACGGGAGAGAATGTGAAGCCTGTCTTCCCACACTAGTAATTTCTAGAAAGAGGATTTGACTAACAATAGATTTGAAATGTCTTGGTGTTTGTAAAAGGATAGAATGGTTTGTGTTGAAGGGGATCTTCTAAAAATCATCTAGACCAACCCCCCTGCTGTGAGCAGGGACTAGATCAGGTTGCTCAAAGCCTTAACCTTGTGTTGAGGTTTAGATTGGATTTTAGGAAAAATTTCTTCACCCAAAGGGTTGTCGAGGCCTGGCACAGCTGCCCAGGGCAGTGGCAGAGTCCCCATCCCTGGGGGGATTTAAAAGTTGTGTGGACATGGCCTTCCAGTGCTGGGGAATGGTTGGACTCAGTGGGCTCAGAGGGCTTTTCCAGCCTGGACAGTTCCATGATTCAGTGTCCCATTCTGAATCTGGAGCATTGTGTGTGGGTGTGTCAGAGTTCCCTTCTGACCTCCAGACTGCTGTAACAGAGCCTGTCTGAAAATGGGTTCTGCCTTTACTCCATCCTTCATTTTGTGCTGCCACTGTGATGGTCATAAACACCCACCTGCCAGTGCTTCAACAAAAGTGTGTTTAGAAAGCGAAAGGAAGTGTGGAAATGTGTTCTTTTCCTGCTTTATTTGTATTTAAGGAAAATAAGAGTATGTAAAATACTTAGGAGAAAGACAATGGAATTCCTTGGGGACAGAAAAAGAGCTTATTGTGGGTATCTGCCACTGAAATAGCAGCTTCACTTTCTTATTTTCAGCAGTTAGATGAACATTGGCAAATAACAGTAGTAACCAAGCTCCAGGAGTGTGTGCAGTGAGGCTGCAGGAGTCCTGGGCTAGTGCTCTCAGGAGGGGTTAAGTTGATCAGAGGATTGGAGATACCAAATGAAAATCTTTGAGGTCCTTCAGTAGCTCTGTAAAAATATGGCATCTGTTACTTGGAATCTCTAGTTTTCTGAGTAGTAGAATGGCTCCCTAAATTTCTATAAAAGTTTAATTTCTATTCCTATAAAAGATTAATTTCTGCATCTGTTTTGTTGTTCTTGGGGGGTTTTTTAAGTTGGTTGAGGCTTCGTATACTTCTGGTCTAAGGAAAGCACAAAGTCCTGATTTATGTCTTGTTTTTAAATAGTATTTTGTGGCAGAAATAGTGGGGGTGAAAGGCCTGTGAATTGAAGGGTCCTCTTTGAAATCCAGGTGTTTTATGTGCATGATGGAAAACCGAGGTTTTAGTTGCATTTAGTGCAGTTCCTAGTGGTCTCAGTGATTGATTCATTAACAGTGCAGAGTGAAAACCAAATTGTTTAGGCTTTTCCAAGTAGAATCCATATCAGTGTTTTCTCATAGATTTGTGATAGACAGAGCCAAACCCCTGCCTCCATAAATGGAACTGTTAATGTGCTGCTGTCCTGAGTGTGAATGGGGAAGAGCATGAAATAAGGATGTGCTACAAATGTAAGGGTTTTTGTTGTTGCAGTATGTCTTTCAAGCATGGATATTGTCAAGCTGTGAGTTCTGAACATGCTGTAAAGGAGAGGGAGGAAGAGCACATTAAAATAGGCTGAGTAAATTGTACAGTTCTAATTGCTCTGAGTTCTGCCAAAGACAGTCTAAAATGTGAACTGCAGCATTTCCATCAGCCTTTTAAATGGTTTATGAAAGCATGTTCTCTCCTGATAGGAATGGAACATTAACAAGGATATAATGGTATTAAATGGAATGTTTTGAAGTCTCGAGTAAAACAAAGAAGGACAAGTGCACAAATGTGACGTGTATGCATCACATACCAAATGTTTAGCAGATTTTAAGTTCTCAAATGCACCTGTTTTCCTGTCTGTAAAAGTTGCCCCGAAGTTATTCTTGAGTAGATGTTGGCTGTAAGAATTTTGAAGGAAGGGAAACTAGTCTGAAACTGGGTTACACCAGAAACCAACAGGCTGTAGAGTGCAGACTGAAGGTGGTTTCCAGTACCACACTAACTGTGTTCTTGAGTGACATTTACCATCATGGAGTGCAAAGTTAGATAAATATCAAGGAGAGACCTGAAAGACACAATGGATGAGCAAGATGCATGAAATGCAGTGCAGCAGCATGGACAGAGCACTGGTGGTTTGGGAGAGAAAACGGGGTTTGTGTGTGCAGAGTTACCGGCTGGGGCAGAGCTCAGGCCAGGGAAAAGGGCTCATGCTCCAGGTGTGCAGAGGGACCAGCTGTACAGCACTGGTTCTGACCTGGGCCAGGGTCCTGCCTTAGAGCAGATACAAAATAATTCTCTGTCCTTTTCCAGAAGGATAAGCAATCTTGAATCACCAGGGAGCAGGAACTTGTATGGTATCTTATGTAACGTGTCAGACCTTTGTCAGCAGTAACTATGATGTCTATTAAGAAAAAACCCAAGAACCAACCCTCAGAAGTCACGTCTGCTGCTGAATTTACACTGTCACAATTCTAACTTTTTTTTTTTTTCTTTTTTCCCCTCTTCCCCCTCATTCAGGTGGAGAAAAGCAAAGAGTTGCAATTGCTAGAGCAATGTTAAAGGACCCACATATTTTTCTCTATGATGAAGCCACATCATCTTTAGATTCAATTACAGAAGAGGTAAATTGGGATAAAAAATTCTAAAATTTAAGTGGTGCAATGGTGTCTGATTCCGATACTTTTTCCCTGTTCTTTTCCTCTCAGAAAGAATTCTGTTCTTTTCACCAAATTGCTGTCAAGTGTTTTCTCAGTAGTATTAAGAGATCCTGTGTCTAAGCCATTGTCCTAAAGACCAGGGCAGAGATGCTGAGTCTGTCTACTGGAGACATAGTGAGGGGTATCAGCTGTCTCTGGGATATTTTCTTGTACACTCTGGAGGTCCCCTTCACCTTTACACATTCATCCCTTGAAACTGGTGCAAATACCTGAGGTGGCCTTAAAGTGTGAAGCTTTCCAATCCACTTTAAAAGGTGTTTAGATGACATCTAGCTTCTTTTAAAAATGCCTTATAAATCATTGTGACATAATGCAGGACAGAAAACCTCTTGTTTGTTGTGCAGCATCTTTCTGAGATGCAGATCAGATAGGTGTGACCTGCAGTGCTGGTGTTCATTTGTGTTCATTTCCCAGGAAGGGCTGTGACATGGATGTCGTGACACTGTGACAGGAACTGCATCAAGGCTTCATAACAACATCTTAGTTTAAGCACAAACCCCTCAGCCCCAGCAGTAATTTCCTGAACTAATGTCATCAAGGACTAGAGCTAAGCTGTGGCTGTGTTCACTTATGCAGATTATTGAGCGAATTTATTGACCTGTACTCACTACATTACTTTCATTTTCCAGATACAAAGAAATCAGAGTGTGAACTGTATATCCATATAGCACAGCACTGAAATGTAGCACAGCTCCCTCGTGGGCCAGCAATGTCCATAACACAGTTCTGCAGAACAGCACGTGGACTCTTTCTCTTGTTTTGCTCTATCTATTGCAAGAGTCGTAAGCAAAGCTGAAAGTTGCACAGCAGAAATGCACTTGAAAGGCAGCAAATGCAAGTGAGCCCTTTCCACAAGACTGTGCCTGGGAATAGAAATGTTTTCTTTTTTGTCAGAAGGTTTTCAGGGAACTGAAGAGGACCCTTCACTGACGATAGTGAGGGCACAAATTCCCAGTCAGTGCTCCTTGCAGAGGAATGTGGTTTGGGAAGGTGACAGAGTGCTCACTGCATAGATAGATGATTCCCAGGATTGCTTTAACTTTATATTCAACCTTGACATGATATTGAGGGGGATTTTTTCCTTTAACTTTCATTGGAAAGTATTATTATGATGATGATGATGAGTTATTTTCAGATGCTTTTGCTGCTGTTTGTTGCTTGTGTACCATGCTCCATGGGAAGGTTTTCCTGAAATCTAGTGACCTGTCTCTTCCTTTGTCCCTGGGGATAGCTGTGTTTTTCTGTGAACACAAGCTTTTTTTTTTTTTTTTTTGCAGTTTGAGGTTTTATCAGAACCACAGATATTTCATGCTTGGGACTCTTCTGTTTCTTTGGTAGATGCTTGTGGCTGTTTGTTATTATGAAGCTGTAGCAGTACCAGAAGTGTTTCTCTAAACTTATTTACAGTAATTTGCATATTTCCAGCAGCATTTAATTTCTCCTCATGCCAGCCAGGAGTGTGTAAGAGTTTGTCTGTGTTCCAATCTTGCAGAACATTCTCAAAGCCATGAGGGCCATGGTGAAGCACCGCACGTCGATTTTCATTGCTCACAGGTTGTCCACGGTGGTGGATGCAGACGAGATCATCGTGCTGGATCAGGTGAGGAATCCCCTGGGCTGTGGGGCTTCCACAGCCAGGCAGTGTTTGCTTCAGGAACTCTCTGTGTCCAGTTTGAATTATCACATTCCCACCGAGGTGCTGAAAGCTCTTCCTTTGGCAGTGAACCATGTTGGAAAGTTCTAGCTCAAGCTTAGCTTTTTATACGTTTCTCTTCACAAACTTGCACGTGTGACTCTCTCGTATGCTGTTATTTTTTATGGCTCACTGTTGCATGGTTTTGATCTAATTTATTACATGCTTCTGTCAGATGAATTTACTAAAATGTTCCCCCAATTTATGCTTCACTCTCGTTGCTCAGTGAGCATCTATTTTTCACATACATCCATTTTTTTATTTCAATGGAAAGAGACAGGACAGCATGTTCTGTTTCCATGCAGATAGAATGACTGCAGGATTGTTCAACCTAATTATGTTATAAATCTGAGCACCATTCTCTGTTGTACCTGTAGAAAAATGTGATTATTTCCTTTCTCTTCTAGGAAAAAAACAATAAATTTTAACATTTAATTTGCTAATACCACTATTGAGCTGTTACCTCATGCTCAGTGTGTCCAAAGTCCATTTTCTTCTCTATTACCCATACCTGGCAAGAGATTTAAAATAAACAAATGTCCTTATGATAACTTCATAATTACTCTTTTAACTGATAATGCTGAAAGTACAGTGCTCTAATCTGCTGATAATAGATGTTAAATTTATCTTTGCATTCATTTTTATCAGTTGCTATTTATATGCTTGTGATCATAGGTGTATTTAGTGACTTAAAATACACATCTAAAAGCAAATAAATTATTCCTACAGTACATTCAGTGGTTTCATGGAGAATTAGAACAAACTCTTACGAAATGGTGACATTCATGACTATTTTTGCTACACAAATCTCAGCTTTATATGAATCTCAGAATGAAGTAGTGGAATAAATCACTTGCAGTGCTCCATGGAGTTTTTATTCAATTTTGATCTGCTTTGTTTTTTCAGCTTTTGCTGAAAATCCTTTCCTGAGGTGTATCCCTTATCCAAGTGCATGTTAAAACATCTTGCAAGTGTTTTTTAACGTGTTACAAGGCGATCTGCAGCTTTTTGTTTTCGACGCAAGTTTTCACAGCTTACTAAGAGTGTGTTTTGTGTTAGAGTGTAACTGTTAAATTAAAAATGAAAGCACAGCCTGGAACTGTAAAAGAGCCGGGGTGCTCCCTTTCCTGAGGGATGCTGGTGGGACTGGGAGTGGGGATGGGGCAGGCAGTGCCCCACAGCTCCTGAGGCTGCACCTCCTGCCAGCCCTGCAGCACTGACCTGGGGCAGCCACATGAAGAGGCTCAGGAGCAGGGGTGAGACAGGATGGTTGGGGCTGGTTTTGCTTAGCCATGGCAATCACGGAATCACAACTCCAGCACCTTTGCTGAGGTAAAACCAGAATCATTCCTGAGTGAGTAAACAACATAGTAATGGTGCAGATCTAAACACTGTGAGGCTGAACAGAGAAGGTGCATTTTTGATGACTGGTCAAGAGTTATTAAAAAAAGCACCATAATTCAAAAGCCTGCTCTCTACTACAATGAGCTCCACATTAACCCCTTGAAGGTTTTAATTCTGCAGTTCTGTTGATCACATTTTTTGTTCAGATTCCACCAGCATAACTACTAATGGAAGTGCCAAGACCCACATTTTTTCCCAGCATATCCATCAGCAGCTGTCACAAGGAGGTAGATTTAATTGTAGATCAGAATTTAGAATAACATCAAATCCACATAGTTGTCTGTATAATTCTGTCCTTTACCAGAAGAAAGAGTAGCTAGAGAACAAATACATTGGTTTAATTTGAAGTCAGTGATTGTGTCTCTCAAAGTGAAAAGATCAGTCTGGTTTTTTGAAGAGTGGTGGTGTTTCTCTGTCTGTAAGGTTGGAGTTCCCTTGAGTTCTCCTCCCCAGCTCTTCCTTCCCATTTCCACAGTGATAGTCAATAAATCATCTTTCCCTTGGGAACAGCCCAGATGAACTGAACTGCTGAGGCCATTGTTGTGGTGGCCATTGCAGGGGCACAGGAGCACCCATACAAGCACAGTTTACACTAATTGTTTCCAGGATTTGATTTTAAATGTGCTTCGCTTGTCTAGTACAAATCCCTCTCTTTTTGCTCTTTTTTTGAGCCTCTTCCCGTGTGTTTGTTACCGAGCAAAAACAAATAGGTGTTTGTTTTGGTACATCCGTGTGGCTTTTGCACCTTGCTCCTTATGTAGAGGTCCATATTTACTTTAAGTAGCTCTTCTATTTTAGATAGTAAAAGTTTCCGTGCTGGTGGGCTTTAAATTTTGCCCAGATGGACAAGAGGTACGTAGATTCCCGTTTCTCTAAGTCTGGGAAGAGCACAGCTCCGTGTTTTCAGCGTGATGTGCTATTGAGTGAACTGTGCATTCAGTCTTTCCGTGCTGTCCCAGGCTCCTTGTCATTAATAACTGCTCTAATCTATACTGTGCAGTTGTGGTCCATGTGTTGGCGTGTTCCTAAAGATCTGGTACTGTGGATTCCTGACCTGCTCCGTGTTTTGCAGGGTAAGGTGGTGGAACGTGGCACACACACAGAGCTCCTCGCGAGTCCCAGCAACCTCTACTCTGAAATGTGGCACACACAGAGCAGCAAAGTGCTCCACAGTCACAGCAATCCCACCTGGGAGGAGAGGAATAACCGGACATCCAAGGAGGAGGAGAGGAAGAAGCTAGAAGAAGAAATTATGAATAGTGTGAAAGGCTGTGGGAACTGTTCATGCTGAGAACGACCCTGGATCAGTCTTGTATAGCAGGTTAAAACTGCCCAAGAATACAGTGAAATGCAGCTCTTGTTTTTAAGTCAGCATTCAAAAACTTCTGGGGTTTGCAGTTTTGGGGTTTTACAGTTTCACAGAGGGACATAATTTCAACCAAAGGAGTTCTATTTTTGCATCTTTAGAAATCTGTAATATTCAGTGGCATCTGCAAGAGCTGGGCTTTTCAAAAACTTTAAACTTCCCAACTAAGAGTGTAATTTATGGCAATTTTTAGGTATTGGTAAATTCTCCTGGTAGTCGCTTGACATGGATTATTAAATTGTAAACAGATTTGTCCTAGATTTACATTATTTCTCATCATTAATGGTTGATAAATATGTCATGTTTTAATTGTAATTGGGCTAATTTGAACTCATTTGCTAGTGAGGAAGATGCCATTTAAATTCTTCAGTGGTGTTCTGGTTTAAAATGTTCTTCCTCGTAAAGAATAAGAAAAGCCTCAACAAAATATTAGAGGCTTCTAGTAGCAAACTAAATATTGGACTTATCCATCTCGCCCTTCAGGAGCACCTTTTGTATGGCACTATCAGGAAATTAATTGGTATCATTCTAAAGGAAAACTAATAGTATTTTTAAGTGAAAAATGAAAAAATCTGAGTTTAGGATTCTGTATCCTCAGCATCTGCTGTAGCAGTTGAGGCAGAAGGCAGTTGCTCTTTCTAATTCAGTCACGGTCTTAAGGAGCAATTAAGATTCAATAAAGACTTCCATAAATTTCTATTATCTCATTAATATATGAGAAAATGACCTGGATAATGCTGAAAGCATTGCTATAATAATCTCCTCAAACTTCTCCAGTGGCAGGAAACCTCAGTGTCTGGGATCTGCAGGACACTGTGGGTGTATTGGGTTGGGGGGGGGGGCTGCAGTGGGGGCCTCTGTGAGAAGGTACCAGAAGCTTCCCCTGTGTCTGGCAGAGCCAATCCCAGACGGCTCCATGATGGACCTGCTGCTGGCCAAGGCTGAGCCCACCAGCGATGGGATAATCCACTGCTGGGATAATGTATTTGGGAAGGGAGGGAAAAGCTTGGAAGTGTAAGTGCAACTGCAGCTGGAGAGAAGAGTGGGAATACGTGAGAGCAACAGCCCTGCAGACACCAGGCTCAGGGAGGAAGGAGGGGAGGAGGAGCTCCAGGCAGTGGAGCAGAGATCCACCTGCAGCCCATGGAGGACCCCACACTGGAGCAGGAGGATTTGCCCAGAGGAGGCTGGGACCTCTTTGGAAGCCCATGCTGGAGCAGGGCCCTGGCAGGACATGTGATCCTATGGAAGACACACACTGGAGCAGCCTGTGCCTGAAGGACTGACCCCGTGGCAAGCAGACACGTGGGAAGGACACACTGGAGCAGGGGAGGAGAGTGAGGAGGAAGGAGCAGCAGAGCCAACGTGATGAACTGACCACAGCCTCCATTCCCTGTCCCCCTGCGCCACCTGCAAGGAGGTGGAGAATGTGGGAGTGAAGTTGAGCCCAGGAAGAAGGGAGGGGTGGGAGGAACGTATTTTAAGATTTGGTTTCTTTTTCTCATTACCCTACTCAGACTTCTAATTGGCAGTAAATTCAATGAGTTTCCCTGAGTTGAGTGTTTTGCCCATGACAGTAATTGCTGGGTGATCTCTCCCTGTCCTTAACTCAGGAGCCTTTCCCTGCCCAGCTGAGGAGGGCAGGGATGGATTGGGTTTGGTGGGCACCCAGTGTGCAGCCAGGGCCAGCCCACCACAACAGCACTGTATTTTTAGGCCATGTCTCTTCGGGGAAATTCACCATCTCTATTTAGCACAAGCTATTCTGGTGTAATTCTTCATGTTGAATTCAAGAATTAAAATCTTTCTCTTGGATGTTGAAAAATAACTGTTATTTCTGGGGAATTACACCAGTATAATTACACTGATGTAATTACGTTTGTAAATCAGATGCAAGGTTTCTCAGTGTGGGCACTAGGGAAGGGCTGAATTTGGTGCTTCTGGAAATTTAATTGCAAATAGCATTTATTTTTTTGTGTTATACCCTCCCCTGCAACTAAATATAGGAACGGTAACTTAAAAGGAGCGAAACCTTTGCTAGTTATTAATTTTCTCTCTTTTAAAATGATGGGTGAAAAAACCCAACCTGGCATCAGTCTGCAGTTAAAAATTATTTTAAAAGTGTACTTTAATTTCCAACCTTGGAGTGCAGAAGCAAAGTGAAGTCCTGTTAATGTAGCGGCATTGCAGAATTACAGCTTACAGCCTTCCCTTTATTTTCCCTAATGGTCTCCTGGTTTAGCTGACAGCAGTGAGTGGACTGTAAAGGTGCAGTTATGTTCCAGCTGCCAGAAACAGCAAAAGTTTATTGAAACTACCCTGCAAGAGCTCATTTTTGAAATTAACTAATCTGTCTGCTGTTCATGCAGCAGGGAACAGGCAAAGGCTGTAAATAGGAATATTTCAATCCTAAGATCTTTTTCTTCTGACACAAGGACTGAAAATATCTCTGGTCTGAAAGATGGAGGGAAAGGGTTTTTCTCAATGAAGAGTTTTCCCTATTGCAGGGCCTGGACATCCCAGCAGATCCCTGAGGATCAGGAATCATCTGTGAGATGTCTGGAGCCAAAAGCTGTTTGAATGCGAAGTTTGATTGTGTTTGTGAAGGGCCAATTTCAGATGAAAGCTGATGGATTTTATCACTGGGAATGGGCTTTGCAAGGACTCTGAGTCTTGGGCAGTACAGGTGTGGAATGAGGACTGTTTTCAGTTGGTAAGTGCCAGGAATGCTCAGTATTTGTTTAAATCTGTACGGGTTTGCTGGAGCTCCGAGGCCATTGCCTGTCTCTGCCACCCTTCGCGTGCCAGTGGATGTGCTGCAGCTCTGTGCAGCTTTAAGCAAGTGGAATGACAGGAGGGAACTCTGAACAAAGGCATTTCCTAAAGCAAGAGGCTGCTCATACGGTAGAACACGTTTCTTAAAGAACTGCAGCGAGTTTCCGGAGATGACTGAAAACTTCCCGTGTCGTGGAGTTGCTGGATGAGCATTCCTGGCTTGGTGGTGGCTATATTGGAGTGAATTGCTGTGGAGAAGCAGAAACAACACTTGGTGAGTTTCCTGTCTGCTACGAAGTCAAACTTCTGCTTTCTTTTTTTTTTAAATTTTATTTTTATTTTGAATTTTTATTCCTGCACTATGACTCCAAAGTGTCACCATTGAAGCAGGTGTTTGAAACACTGAATGGGAGAGCCATGGCTTTGGAGAAACTCACTGTGGCACACTGACCCTTGGGACAGTCTATGTGGCATCTCTTGGAAAAGCCTTACAGTTCTCAGAGAAAACAGATTGATTTTGGAGCTCTCTCGCAGCCTCTGTGGATCTTGGTAATTCTGCTCCACTGTAAACTGGGACATCATTTTCTAAACAGCAGCTTTTCATATTCTGGACGTGTAGTTGGTTGTTTTTCAAAATTCAAGTAATCTACTCCCATTATAAAATCTTTGTCTGCAGTTTTAGTGTGGAAAAGCCATATAATTTTTTTCCCTTCATTTTCTGTTTTTAAAGGAAATGTGTTTGTGGAAAATGGACATTAAAAAGGGGCTGCTTCTTGCAGTGTGTAGTGATCTGTTTACTTACAGAATTCAATTCTAATTTCCATGTAAGAACTTACTAGGCACAGGATATGAAGTCACAACAAACAACATTTTGGCTATTTTAACCTCCAAGTTAGAAAACTTAATGAGTGATTTGTGGGGAGGTTGTTGTGCTTTTTCCAAATGGATGTTCCCAATTTGCTCCTTGCAGATGATCCCTCAGGTTATCTCAGCTGTTCTGTTCCATGGAGTATTAGTTACCTATATCTCAACACTGAGATTTTAAATGGTGTTCAAGTTTCTTTTCAGAATGGAAGTGTATAATTTACATTGTACAGGAAGATGACAGAACAACACAGAAAGCTCAGGTGAGATCAGACTGTGTAACCCTTCTGCTGGAACACTCCTTACTCTGACTCCTGTCCTTCATGTATGTATAGATAATTCTTAGTAAATAAAGGATTTATCTTTGTGAATAGAAATGGGTGTCCTGTCACAATGGCTCTGTGGCTTTGCTGAAATTCCCAGAGAAAACAGTCACTCACTGCTGTGGAATGTGGGTCTTAGTGCCAGCAGCTGTTTGTGGTGCTTGGTGGCGCTGCTGGGGCTGGTAACCACTCACAGGGGTGTGGGGTGGCATAAGGTGACTGAATTCCAGGTGATCCATCAGAAAGGTAAGTTCACAGAGTGCACCCAAGTTCTGCTCCCACTCAGCTTTTCCATCCCCTGCACTGTGTGTGTGGCGCTGGAAGAACAGGGGAAGGGCTCGTGTTTCTGCATCACACTGATGGGAATGAACATACTTGGGAGAAGCTTGACTGTTTCTTACTGTAAACACTGTATTTTTATAAATGTAAACTCTTAACTTGTGATCAGTAGAAATAGAGCAGTTCTAAGAATCTGCTTGAGCCCTTGACATGACATTGTCTGTAATCACTGCCTGGGTTTCTGCTTTAAGCAGCTCAAACTCAAAGCAGAAAGCAAGAAATGCTGCTATTATTATTAACTATTTACATGTAATGTTGGTCGTTCTTCTAGTGTGCTGCATTGTATTTGATTTGAGCTACAACAGCCACAGGTCCTGCTGTCATGTCCAGGGGATGGTGTGTCTGGGATAGATGGATGGATGGGTGGGTGGATGGATGTGAGATCCTTGAGCAGCCTGGGGTTTTTCAAGTCTGACTGGATGAACTCCCAGCTGTTGTCTCTAAGAGTTCATTTGCTCTGTCTTTAAATCTTGAAGTGATACTGCAGGAGTGCTCCATAAATGTTACTGACAAAACAAGTCATTGATTTTTAAGGGGAAAGAGCTGTAATGGGAATATATTTGGGGCTTTTTCTTCATGTGTACCTGTAACTTCTGTTAGTGCTAATTTGAGTTGCGTGTCTGCATCAAGGAAAACAGTAATTGCAAATCCAGCTTTTGGTAATCTTCACATAAATTAGGAATAACCCTGAGGTTACTATGCTCGTTGAACATCCCATTGGTGCACAAACAATGGGTGCAGAAGTGACAATTCACTATTCTGTGGATTATGTGCTGCTTCCCAGTCAAAACTTGCCAGTTATGTTTATTTTTGTGCGTTGAGCATCTGAACTGTCTTCCCAGCCTTTAGTCCTGGGATCTGCTGGGGCTCATCATTTCAGCTTTGCACAGGACGGGAGGGTTGGTGGCACTGCAGGAGGGTTGGTGGCACTGGATGCTTTCTTACAGCACACTGAGGAGGTTGTTGTGATTCTGGGAAGGAGCCAGGGCATTCTTTTAAAACAATAATTGCATGGGTTTTGAAGTGTTGTGATGTGGCAGTGCTGCAGTGTATAGGTCTGTTATTAGTGGAATGGCCATGTCATGGATGGAATGGTGGAGGTGGTAAATTGTAGATAATATATTAATGTCTAGAACAGATATTGAAGAATTCAGCTACTGTATAAATTTGATGTCTTATAAGAAAACCCTTAAATGGTTAGCCCTTGAAAAATATCTTTTTGAATTCCTGCTGTGTGACTTTTGATCTGTTTCTGCAGATGTTGGGACTAAACTCAGGGAAAAGCCATGAACTTTATCCATCCTGGAAAACCAGCAGAAAGCCTGAGAGAGGACTTCTACGGAGGCAGGTCTGCAGGCTGGGGTGTGAGATCTCCCTCAGATGAGAAGTGTCAGTTGTACTAAGTTGCACAGTGCATTAATGAAAAGGAGAAGAGCAAAAATGCTTTACTGGTATATTCAGGCTGAACTGAAAACAGGATGCCCAAAGCTGGAAGAATCCTGAAACATTTCTGCTCCCCTACATTAATTTCCAGTTTTTAATGCTTTGTAGCCCTTTACAAAATTGTCAAGTAAAGCATTTAAGTCACACCAATGTAAACTTGTAAAGGTCTCAGTCATGTGCTGGAGTGGGAAAAGGAGAGTAGTTTTTCCCCTCCATTATGGAGAGGAAGGAGGAGCTTGAGCTGGATACATCAGGTGCTCTGGTGTCCTTTTGAGTGCGTTGTCAGTGCTCTGCAAGTGTCAGCTGAAGATTTGAGTGCCTTGTGCACACACCAACAAACATTTAGAAAAGTAGAGGTTGAACAGATGAAAAGTTTCCATTTTACACTCGTCAGAGAAAATGGAACGTGAAGGTCAGTCTGTGATTGGGAGGGGATGTTTCCAGCCTATGCAGTAATTATGGAATGGGCTGTGAATGTAAAGCATGGAAATACATGTTCATGTGCTTTCACACAGGGGTGTAAAAATCTTTATTTCTCCAGCGATTTGAAAAACTTCCTGGCTTTTGAAAAACACAGATAAAAGATTCAGCTTATTTACAATTTAAACCAGGGAATGTTTCCTGGGGAAAATAATGTTTGCAGAATCTGCAAAAGGTGATGAGTGACATCGTGTGTCGATGCTGTTACTTGAGATGGGATTGCAGGATATTTGGCAGGATCCAATGGAGGGGGAAGAGCACAAGGCACAAGTATTTTAGGCTGGAGTTGTTACTTCTGCTTTGTGCAAATTGATTCATTTCAAAGCCCACACAAGGTCCGTGCTGGTAACACACACACACAGTGTTTGCTAAGTTTCCAGGCTAAAAAATTAATGACCTGAAGTTGTACAATGCAGTGACTTTTTGTTTTAACAATATTTTACAGTATTTAAATGTCAGAGGAAGAGAAATTCAGAGCGCTGAGCTTGGGTTAGTGGAGAAGGAAGATTTCTACATTCAGTCCCCTCACTGCAGACTCTGAATACTGATCTGGGCCTCGTGTAGTGGTGGCTGCTGCAGGGGTGTTCCTGGAGCTGGGCATGATCACTTCTCCTTAGATGTGACCTTACTTTGCTCTCTGCCTCTTCTTCTTCCTTCTTCCTATATCTGGCCTGTAATTCTCCTTAAAACATTTCCTGTCTATAAACTGGAGGAAACATGAGCAGCTTCTGTCCTAGGGCCGGTTTTTTCCCCTCGTGTTCTATGGAGGGGTGCTGCCTCCAAAGACTCTTCAGGTGACCTTGGTGGGATATGGTGAAGGCCCTTGCACTGACTTTGGACCTCTGTACCCACTGTCTTGCAGGGAGAGGTTTGCTTTGGGAAATGCTGCTTGGGGAGCTCTGCCACGGCACCTGCACGTTCCAGTTTGGGCTTCAGATCACCTGAAACACAGAATCCCAGAATACGCTGAGCTGGAAGGGACCCACAAGGATCAGCGAGTTCAACCCTCAGCCCTGCACAGGCCCATCCCCAAGAGTCCCACCCTGTGCCCCAGAGGATCAGCCAAACCCTCCTGGAGCTCTGGCAGCCTTGGGGCTGTGCCCACTGCCCTGGGGAGCCTGGGCAGTGCCCAACCAGCCTCTGAGGGAAGAACCTTTTGCTGAGATCCAACCTGAGCCTGCCCTGACACAGCTCCAGCCATTCCCTGGCTGCTGTCCCTGGTCCCCCCAGAGCAGAGCTCAGTCCCTGCCCCTCCTCTGCCCCTGCCCTGGAAATTGGAACTGCAGTGAGGTCTCCCCTCAGTCTCCTCTGCTCCAGCTGAACACACCAAGTGTCCTCAGTGTCCTCCCACATCTTCAAATCAAGGCCCTTCCCCATCCTCGTGGCCTCCTTTGGACACTCTCTAATGGCTCAATCCCTTCCTTCCATTGTGTCCCCCCAAACTGCCCCAATGTTGAGGTGAGGCTGCCCCAGGGCAGAGCAGAGCAGGACAATCCCCTCCCTGATGTCCCCAGGACAGGGATGTCCCTCCTGGCTGCCAGGGCACTGCTGGCTCAGGGCCAACTGGCACCACCAGGACCCCCAGGGCCCTTTCCCAGCACTGCTTTCCAGCCTCTCATTCCCAGTCTGTCCATCCATCGGGGGTTGCCCCATCCCAGGGGCAGAATCCAGCCCTTCCCCTTGTTGAATTTCCTGTGGTTGGTGATTCCCAGCTCTCTGATCTGTCCAGGTTTCCCTGCAGGGCCTCCCTGCCTTCCAGGGACTCATCAGCTCCTCCCAGTTTTGTATCATCTGCAAACTCACTCAGTGTCCCTTCCAGTCCAGCCCCATCATTTATGAAGATGTTGAAGAGCACTGGCTGCTGAGGACACCCTGCTCCAGGTGGTCCCTGCCCACGGTGGCTCCAGTGTTAACTTGAGTTCCACAGGTTTCATTTCCAGCAACCCCTCTCCATGTGATGGGTTGTGTAGCTGTGCTTCCAAAATGGCCAGGGAGCTTTGCAGGCAGCGGTGCATGTACTGATTCCCACAGTGTGCAAAGATCAGTTGGAATGTCCTGTCCACCACAAATCAGTGTTTACCAGAACCCTGTGCTGCTGCAAAGAGCAAACCTGTCTGTTGAAGGTGTGCTTCACTGCTGTGCTGCTCCAGTATGTGCTGTGATTGAATTTAGTCTCCATCACTTCTTATCAAGTCCCTGGAATTTTTGATGTTAGAAATCTTCAACTGACCACAGAAACCTTCTGTCACCAAATGTAGAACTCTGTGGCTAAAATGTGGCCTCCTGAATCTCAGCATGGGATCATACCCCTCATCATACCCCATTAGGTGGTTTTTTTAAAAGCAATTGCTCTGAGCTATGGTCCTGGCAAAACTCATGGTTGACATTTCCATCAGGTATTGGATTCTCAAGTCACAAAATCTGTTGTACCAAAAAATGGCTGAAAGTTGCTTAAACATTTCAAGGACTTTGTTCAGTTTGTGTCCTAGGTTTGTGCACAAGTTCCCCTAATTCTGCTAAATTCAGCTGGATACTTCCATGGTGCAATGGCCTCACGCTGGGAAGCATTGATTGGCACAAGAGCCATGTGTGCAGAATGTGCTAGTGAGGGGTGTTTACAGCACTTTGTGTCCTCTCACAGGAGATGTGTATGGAATTCACAGGTGAGTAATGCTCTCAACTCCTAATTCATACAGGTAAAGCCACCAAGCCCTGGTATGTATATATATGTACTAAGTATGTCCAGTTAAAAGGAGAAACAGGGAACAATGGAAACTGTGCTGCAGCATTGA